ATTTCATCTTGATGGAGCATATTAATTATACTTTTGTGTATAATCAGTGACAATGCCATGGAAATCCGTTCATGCAAACCAGAGCGCTAACAAATTGTAAAAGGCTATGGGTTTTTCACCCTTTCCAGTGGGATTTACACATTTAGTGATATCAGTGCATCAGATTGTCATTGGCCTTTTCACTCTGATGTAAATGAAGTTAACTGTGTAAATCCCATCCCATTGGAATGGGCGAAAAAAACCCATAGCCTTTTATAATCTGTTAGATCTCTGGTTTGCATGAACGGATGGCCATGGCATTTTCAACCCTCCTCAAATTGAACAGAATGAGAAAGATAATGAAATAAGCTTTAGTTCAATGTGTGTCTTGAACACCTTGCCGAGTTGTGATTATTCCTGGCTTTTGAAGTGAGGGCATATATCATTGGGGTCAATAGCAATTTATTTACTGGTCTGCACCTATAACGTCTTTTTTGTTTGTGTTGTTTTTGATTTTTTTTTAATCCATAGACTCGGTACCACCTAGACAATTCAAAAACAGCCCAGACATTTTTAGCGACTGCAAACTCCAGCTCCATTCCAGCAACAATATGGCCGAGAACGTCTACGAGTGCGCGGCACGCCTGCTGTTCATGACGGTCAAGTGGGCGCGTGGTATCCCGACATTCCTTGCACTTCCGTTCGGGATCAGGCCATCCTATTGGAGGAAGCTTGGAGTGATCTCTTCGTGCTGAGCGCCTGCCAGTGGTCGATACCGATCGAAATAGGTATAGAGGGAACGTGTATTGAATAATTTGAATGAGCTTTCCCAGATTATGCACCAAAGTCTTGCTCGCACGCTAGATGAGCTTAAAACGGTGATTTCAAGTTCCCAGTTTGTCATATCTTAATTTTCCATGGAATTTTTCGGCCTACATTCCATTCATATTGGTCTATAATGAACACGCACGAAATTATAATGCATGCAGTACCAATGCAGAATTCTGTGAACTCATTCTGTCACTGGCTCTAGTCTGGATCTGTCAAGAGCATTGCATTGGATGATAGCGTCCTCTATTATATCTGTATGAAAAACAAGATACGGTGTTTCGTTCGTCCCCAGCCATATCTTACCCTTTCGCTCGTACCCCCCCCCCCCTGCAAACAGGACGATGGGAAGGGCTTATCTCTTTGAGCTCTCATTGGATAGATTTTGCGTGATCTGTGACGTAGCTTGCATCACACAAACGCGCTACGGCTATTATTTATCATGCTAGCTGCATGCGAAGGTCATGATTATAAGTTAACCATAATACCATCCGTACGTCCCTCACAAGATTCTGTGAAGCGGCATCATCTCTTCCCAGCGCCCTGTTTGCAGGGCGGGGGTAGGCCTATGAGCGAAACTTACCCTATTCAATATGCGCTGGTGTCCGCTAATATCCCTCACAGCGTGAAGGAAACGCAGGCGGCGCAAAACATTTCGATAGGGCACTTTCAGTAAACTTCTTGAGCACGAGTCGTGCGCGCACGTACGTGCGCGACACTTTTTGCGCTCTCCGTGTATCCATTGAGAGTGCAAAGAAATTAGAGGTCACCGGTGCATTGGGCAGGGTGGTTGGTTGGTACGAACAAACCTTGGTTTGTCGTTCTCATTCCCAGAGGCCATGCTGAACTCCGATTGTCTATTCAACACTACGGAGGGAAGAGCTAGCAGCTGCGGCGATTCAGCGCTGAAAGCCACCGTGCGGCAGCTTCAGAGTGTCATGAGAAGGCTACGGGATCTACACACGGACACTGTGGAGTTTGCCTGCCTCAAGGCATTGGTCCTCTTCAAGCCAGGCATGTTTTCAATGAATACCTCCTCGATTCTGGGTCGTTCGACACCTCCCCAACCTTCAGGCTATGCGCCTGATAACCATGCGCTGTACACGCGAAAAACTGCAACTATGCATGGAAAGCCAATATCCTGAACAAAATGACATTATAATCATGCATTCGGGGCCTTCCTTTAATTTCGAATGTGTTATCTTTCCTCACAGAGAGCAAAGGACTCCGTGAATCCCAGAAGGTGGAGGCCATACAAGACGAGACCCAATTGGTCCTTTCTGACCTCACACGCACGAGGCAGCCAATCCAGACGGTCCGCTTTGGGAGGCTTCTCCTGGCCCTGCCCCACATCAGCTGCATCGACTCACGGTGTATCGAGGAGCTGTTCTTCAGACGGACCATAGGAAGCGTGCCTGTTGAGCGACTTCTGTGCGACATGTTCAAGTCTAGCTGAATAGACACTAAAAAAACAATAACTTATCGTTCAGATTTTTAAAATCGATCTGTACTGGGAGTGACTTGGTCTCCACGGACGCAGTCTAGCCTTATACATGTACATCACTACGTAATGGTTCTTTTTAAAATTCAGTTACTCTATTTTAATAGCGTCTTTACAGTAATTACATCATCAGCGGCGCAAACGTGGTGGTGGTGGGGCGGGGGGAGGGGGGGGGGGGGGGAGTCGGTGTGGGCGTACACTACATACACCCCGAGGACCGATATAGACTAAGGGAGAACAACAGATGCTTTATTGACCGCGATCATTAATCATTTGTTGAAAACGGTCCTTGATCGTGCGTTCATGTGATTAGTCTACGGGAGAGTGTTATAATACAGGGACAACGGAAAAGACAATGGCTTGTCCTCGGGAGATATGTAAAACATGACTGAATGGGAGGTTAAGGAGGAGATAAGTTTTGCTCTTCCCCTCCTCAGGATAGTCGAGATAGTCCCACCAAAAATTGGATCTCCTTTAAAAAAAAAATGCTAAAGGAACTTCCACAATACGAACATTTGGTAGGGGTCCCATGATCGCACCTTTTGTGATACCAAAAATGAACTTTCTTTTCCTATGCACTGAAAACGGATTTTACAGCAATCGGCCATATCGAATTTTGAATACCCGCGGAAAAAAGTTTTGTTTTGCTTGTTAAACCACACTTTATAAAGGTGTTGTATTTCAGCCTGTGTTTACAAAACAAACCAAAAACGTCGATATTTTACGAGTTGTTAGTTTATGCGATGATCCAATGAATCGTGTGGATAAGAGTTTAAAACTGATGCAATGGTTATTCTAAATAAAAAGCATGGTCCCAAAGCGCGCAAAATTCTATTCAGTCGATTCAAAACGGCTACTCACGGACGTACGTCTTTTCATATAATGTGGTCTACACAGTATAGGCATGCAGGAGTTAGCCCATTCCTCGGTGTTGCAGGGTAATCCTATATGATAGCACTGCCCGGCTTACAAGTGATAGTAAAGGAACCTTAGTCAGTCATTCAGGTACAACGAGGACTTCATGCAGGTTGCATGGCTCCTCTGGGACCAGCAAAAACATACAGGGTGAGTAAAAAAAAACGAAACCCAAATGTCGGGACCATAGTTTTAGTGAAGTTCCGCATGTAGCACTTTTATAGGATATGAAAGCCCAATTCATAAGCTTTCTTTTAGTACAAGAATCATTCGAATCACTCGTGTACTTTTTAAGTTTCGGAGTTTTAAACACAACCACCATTTTAAAGTTCTGTCAACGGATCACAAAAAAGGTGTGCGTTGTTTCAGGAAAACGAAAACAATTCACACACATCCTCATGTGATTTGTTTTCGTTTTGTTGAAAGAACACTGAACTGATCCGTGGACAGAACATTAAAACGGCTGTTGTGTTTAAAACTCCGTAACTTGAAAAGCAAATTAGTGATTTGAATGATTCTTGTACTAAAAGAAAGCTTATGAATTGGGCTTTTATATCCTAGATTTTGAAGTGCTACATGCAGAACTTGACTAAAACAGTGGTCCCGACATTTGGGTTTCGTTTTTTTTTACTCACCTGTACAATGTCATCGATCTAGTTGTATCTACCAGTAGCCTATTTATAATAAAACCACATGTATATTTAAAATTCAGATGTTGTGCACGTGACTAGTGTATCGACTTGTCGGATGCTAGGTGTCGAACTGTACGTGTTAAAGGTAGGCGAATCGGTGGGTTCGAATTTTAACGTGGAGGTGGTTTTCGTGACGTTTTCGGTCAGCACTCCAAGTTCGATGATCCTCTTTTAGGAAAAGGGGGGGGGGGGTGATAATAAAGGAAAGGTTGAATGAAAACGTGCCAAAGACAGACCAAGCTGGGGGGGGGTGGCACATGGCCAGGAAATTTTTGAAATGTACGTTTCTTTCTACAGCATTCTAAGGCAATTTGGGACTAAATTTAGGAATTTTAGCATTCCATTTATTACTTTTGGCCCCATTGTACTAGAATCATAACATAACTCGGCGAAGCCTGAACGGTTGGAGGTGGGGGGGGGGGGGGGGGGGGGTTAGATCCATAGCAAGACAGCGACGTAACTAGGAAAAGCCGCAGCTAGGGGGTACCAGGGGTGCACCAATTTGTCAAGGGGCCTATCGGGTACTGAGGGCAGCGTATGTTTTGTTTTTGTGCAAATCAAGATTTCAAGTGGGGGCAGGGGGGTGGGGCACCCAGGGGCACAGACCTCCCGGGTACGGTGCCCCCTTGCCCCCCCCCCCCGCCCCCCTGCCCCCTCCTCCCTAGTTACAATGTATACTCCACTGTTGTCAGATGAATGTAACCCATTTAAGACGGAAACAAAAGACGGCACACTCACCACCGGTCCTTTTTAAACTACAGTACTGTCATCTACCTCACTGCATGGTGTTATTCCCGCGAACACATTTTTGAGAAAACGCAGGTGCGAAGACGTTCAGGGCAGGAGATACACGACACGGGTCTTAGCGATACAATTGTGATTTTATGCCTGGATTGTGGTTGAAGGTATAATAGGGCCTGCTATTTCTGCTAACTCAATATAACATTCGGACACAACATTGCTTTACGGGAAAATCTATGAAATTACTGGCCCCAAAGATATTTTGTAGACGGAGGGCGCACTTTGCGGAACTTAACTGCGTACGCGTACAAACGGTGTATGCATACCACCACCGAGCGTTGAGTACCGCAACACTAGCGTCTTGAACAAAGACTAAACCACATCCTGCAGCCCATGGAGTTTAGGAATCGGTTTGTCCGCCATGCATCGTGACCGATCTGACCACGGAGGAAGGACACAGGGCCGGCTAGCTTAGCTGCGGCTGTCTTCTCGGATTTTTGAGGTAGATAAATGCAAATTTTTAGACGTCGTGTGCCCCACGATATATGCTCTTTGCACTGCCTGTGAAAAACGTGCGGACATTTTGCGGTTAGCATTGTTTGGGGGCTTTAAAATTGCTGTTTTAACTGCCCGCCATCTTCCAAATGGGGGCGCTCTTGTAAGTTGTAATGGTTTTGGAGCTTCCTAGTTCCTTTTTTTTTTTTTGTTCATGTCAGAACTTTATTTTATGGAAATAATGTACTGAAAACATAGGCCTAGGTATCTAGTGATGTCTTTAAAAAAAAAGCCGGGGGGGGGGGATGTACAACGAAGACCTAAAATAGTAAAAAACAAAAAACAAAAAAATGTCTAACGTCACACTTACTGGGTATACATGCGTCTCGGGGATATGAGCATAAAGGACGCTTCAATGAAATGCCCTGAGTGAGATTATCATGTGACCACAAAAAGTTGAGAGGTACATGTATAGATGGTCTATGGACAGTCTATTTTACACAGCTAATTAAGGTACACATTTATCTGGGGATTGCCATTATTTAGTGTTTTTATACTTTTATTTTTGTTTACAAGTCGTTTTTCAAAGGTGTCTGTCACAGAAAATCCTCATAATGTCTTACAGTGAGAGAGAAAATGCTGGCAAATCCTGTTTGTTTACACCTGATGCTATATTTCAAGCAGTGAATAAAAGCCACTGAATTTTTAACCAAATTGTCGACATAAGACGTGCTCAACTTTTATTTTTTAAGCTTTTGTTGACATGTTCATGTTTTGTTTCATGCAACTTAGGATGTGGCAAGTTGAATGATTGGAAAGCAGTGCTCAGCAATGCTACGCTACAAGGTCATCACACTGGACATCCACAACACGCTGATGCGTGTCAACCAATCCACGGGTCAGCAGTACAGCAGGGTGGCGCTACAGCACGGCGTGACTCTAGATCCACACATCCTTGACAAAGCATTCCACAGTGCACTCGGGGAGCAGAGAGCAAAACATCCAAACTATGGAATACATGCAGGTATGTAAGGTCAGCTCTAAAGGCCATGTTACAGCTATTCCGAACTCAATTCATTTGACATTTTGATTTCAGCATGCCGATGGCTTGGCCGTTAGAACCATTTGGCTCAGTAAATTGAGTTGAGCATGATATGGCACTCTGCTGTGCCATGACAGGGTCTACCATGCCATCATTGTTGCGAAAGGCAGTGACATGCATGGCATTGTACTAAGCACTGTGCATTTGCCATTCCAAACTCAATTCAAAGTTGGGGCTGACAATGACCTCTCTCGCATGTGCATCATGGGGAATGTATGTGGTACTATACTTGATTATGTGGAAAGTGCATTGAATTGCTTGAAAGTTAATTTAACGATGGCAGGCTACTCTTGATGCATTTAGTTCAACACATTGAATTGGCTGTTTAGAGCAGCTGCTATAGACCGATTTAGACACGCTGTGCTATAGACCGATTTAGACGCGCTGACAATCCTATCAATAATGCCCCATTCAGTGGTGAAGGCATCGTACTAGCTATTGTTCAGATAACACGTCGGGGACAGATGCATGGGGGTATTAGGCACTGCGGCATTTGAGTTTTGTTTGTGTTTTTCGTAAATGTTTCAATATATAAAAAGATTGATCAGCTAATAAAAAAATTGCAATTAAGTACCATTCCATGAAAAATAATGGCAACGACAGAGAAGTACATTTAGTAGGCCACCACTTTCACGACAATGGAGGGCTTTGCACATACCAAGCTGAATCTTGTGCCTTAGACAATTGCGTACTGGTCTGAACTCCTGATGTTGTGTGAAGCGCGCTTTAAACAAAAGTACAAAAGCATTGATGAGCAACACCAGTGGATGTCGTGCTACTTGATGCCATTATAAAACAAAACAAAATATTTTGTGACTTTACCCTAGTATTTAAGCCTTACATGTACTTGGGAAATGAATAAATCGTGTGCGTAAGTAATGGGGCGTTGTGTGTTTATACACAACTTTATACGCTTTATACGCCAACTAAAGACCCACCTCTTCAATCAGTTTCTTTCTCACACATAATGACCTCTACCTTCACACACACTGACTTTTCACTGACCGGCGCCTTTGAATGACTATTTTTGTCAGATACTGTGCGCCTTACAAATGCTTTGTTATTATTATTATTATATGCAGAAATGCCAACGTGTATCTTGAGGATACAACATTTTGATAAAGCGTGTTATCTCAAGCTATTATAACGTCGTATTTTGATCTCTTTCATTTAAAATCTCTTTTATCAAAAATTAACATTATCTACGATTTACCGAGCCACTGCAAACCTACTTAGGCCTGCAAAGCTTTTTCTCAAAAAGACTCGAAACTAATTTTTTAAACCTTTTTTGGAATATTTGCAAACAGATTTAGAATTTGTTTTATTTAAACGTTGAAACGTGTAAACATCACATCCTTAGCATTAAGAAGGTTTAGATGTCAATATAGTGAATTCTTAATATCCCCCCTTCAGCAGAAACAGCTTTTTTATGCCGCTGGGCATCTCCCCTCTCTGTTTTTTTATTCTGGACTTTAGTCATCATTGTTGGACTGACCTACTTAAAGTCCTTCACTACTTTTTCTGGATTTCTTCAGTCAACTTGGGCAATGTCAAAGCAAACTATTGGAACAGCACCCCTGTTCAGGCAACATGCTGCATCCACCCTTCCCGATGGTGTTCCGCCTTCACCTGGCAGATTGCTGCAGCCCAAGATTTTTTTCTGTGAATCCCAAGCCCAAGAGTGCTTACAGGCTTGCCCATCAGATTCCAACAAGATGTTCAGTAGACGTGCCACTACTTTATCACTTTCACCGGCTTCCTCCTTTTTCCCTGAGGCTGCAGCTGTTGCTGCCTGCCACTTGCTGCCTGCCACTTGGGACTAATTTGGCCCGGCTTGTCTGAGCTGTGATACAGATCCACTCCCCGATCCTGTGGTTATGCCAAGTAGTTCCTCATTATCAGACTGGACAGGGCCCTACCTGGAAAAGCTTTCTTAAGACAGTTCCCATGATGGATCTACCACCACCAGTAAACCTCACCAGTCCGTGTCCGCTAGCAGTGATGTGGCCTTACCCCCAAGTTATCAGAGCCTCTCTGAATTTCTGTCTGCCTTTTCTCACGGCCTAACCCGGGTCCGTCTTTCAACCCACTTATAGATTTCAAGATTTCCTTTTGATCTCCCACAGGACAAACCAACTGGACATCTCATCTTGTTGATGCTAATCGAGCTAGAACATGAGATGTCACCAAAGGCTGAACTATAATCCTTGAAGTAGTAATTTCTGCCACCCAGCTCGATTTTGGGCAGCACAAGTAGCCTCATTGTGTTGAAGACCAATAAAGTTGAGGTCATCTACATGTATGACCTTGGAATGTAGGTGCGGCTCGGACCTCCACCCTGTTATGTAGGCTGCTGGTGGCTGATTGTGTGGGATTTTGAAAACAGTGAATGGCACCTAAGGTCTCCATAGAGCATGGCCTAAAATGAAAGCAGTTTCTAAGGTAGGTGGTAGTGGCAGGTGCTTTGGGTATTTTAGCATACAGGTTAATTTGGGATAGCCATACTGGGAAGTGCCCACAGAGGCAGTGACGCACGAGAGCATGGTGAGATGCATCAAGACACCTCTCCTTGGTTTCGGTAGGCGCAAGGGCATCACAGCTGTATAGTACTACTGACTCAATGGATACTCACCACCTCATCACAAAGTCACTGTCTTATTCACGCTAGCTGTTACTCACTCCTATTGCTGTTAATCTGGCAGACACGGATAACACCACAGCCAACGCATGCTGCTGGGCGTGATCAAACTCATTGTATGATCAGCCCCATCTCAGTTTCCTTGTAACAGGGCACAAATGTCAACTACAGGATACCCGGAGCCCCACGTGTGGCAGACCGATGCCCTCTTCATACCATACCTGTTTGCCTTCCCCTCAGAGTGATTGGGAAGATTGAGCGAAAATGAAACAGGTTCTACTTGTGACACTGTTCTGGCCTCACCAGCTGTGTTTTTTTTAAGGCTTCGCTTCTTTCACACTCAACTACTCCTCCTGCCCTGATTGAATATTCTTCTCAGCAACCTCCATTGGGTCTTTTTCATTCCGATCCAGGGAGGCTCCATATATGAAGTGCTGGCCATTGTCCAGTGCTTCTTCCAACAGGCGACACTTTCTCAGAAAGTTGCCGCCCTTGAGGCCTATTCACGACAGCCAATTAGGACATTTCCCTATGTGGTGTCGACGGCATTCGGTGGATTCAGATTGGTGATTTCTTCTCCATCTTTTCCTGTCTGGCCTCTGCGTTTGTACAGTCACGGGCTATCGCTCAGATGATGCAACCATTCATGGCAGTTTTCCAGACGGCTCCTCTGTATCCAATTGTACTGCCCTTACACACCTCCTTTAAGGCTTGTTTTAACCTTGACACCCCCAACACCCTTCTTTCATCTTTCGATCTTGCTAATGCCACTTAAAGCCCCTTGGTCAGGCCTCTATACTGATTGTCTTGGTGAAGACGGCCTTCTTCCCAGCAGCTGCCACTTCCTAGTGGAATCCACTCTCCTTAGACCAGTTATTGATTTGAACATGGCCTCAGAAAAAATCACCCGTTGAATTCCCCGTCTATGTTAATTAGTTTTTGTAATTAAGAAGTGCCCAACTAAATGCTCAGTACTTTATTTTGCTTTCATTTTCAGGTATGTCTTCCAGTGCTTGGTGGACTGATGTGGTCAGGAAAACCTTCACCACCAGTGGCTATTCCAACAGTGAAGTTGTGAGCAAGATTGCCTCTACCCTCTATGAGGATTTCAAGAAACCCATGACCTGGGACATCTTCCCAGAGGTCAAATCTACCCTGACCTCTCTGAACAGACTCGGAGTGTGTCTAGGTGTTATCTCTAACTGTGATGAGCGACTCATGGAAGTCCTCCAAGCCACAAATCTAGCCAGCCATTTTGCCTTTATCTTGCTGTCTGTCTACACGGAGCATGAGAAGCCCAAACCAGAGATGTTTCGGTTGGCTCTGGATAGGTTAAGGGTCCAGCCTGAGGAATGCCTACATGTTGGGGATAATATTCGGCAGGACTATGAGGGCGCCAGAGCAATCGGTATGGATGCCGTGGTTGTGGACAGAAACCAGTCATTGGCCAAGACCCACCCTGATATTTCCTCGGATCATTTCATTCCAGATCTTACCAAATTAGAAATGCTGCTTCTATAGTCTTCCTGTTCGTGACCAAAACATTTTAAACAAACCAGACTACTCTTACCTTGTCAGACTGGACCTCACAGTTTCAGATCAGTACTGATCCAGTGACTCAGTCAATCAGCCAGTGTCTCAGTCAACGACTCATTCGGAGTGTCGGCAACTCAGTTCATCACTCAGCCTGTCGGTCAGTCAGTCAGTCAGTCAGAGGACTACAGTATATGCTGGACCTTCAGGTCCAGCAATAATGACTTAAATAATGTATTATGTTGATGTACTTGTATTAAATTTGTTAAATTTATGATCCAGAGGAAACTCCACATTTTATCTGTGCAAAATTAAGTCTCCCAACTGGAATACCATACATGTATATCAGTACATGCCTGGAAGGCGCCTGATATACTGTTTTTTGTGGGAGGGATTGATCCTGTCTGAAGTGGTCTGTTGGAACATTTCTGAGCATTTTCCATGGCTCCCTTGCTGGTTGTTGTAAAAAGCGAGGATGAGAGGCTGGTCATTTGGTGTTTAGGGTGCTGTTCTTTAAACACACATGTGTAGGCTCGGAAGCATAGCAAAAAACGACGGTGTGTGGGGATATGTGTGCTATACTTTGTTGCATTTTAAGGTTTTAAAAATTGTTGTCTGGCAAGAACAGCACCAGGTCTGAGGAGGATGTTGATGACATAAAGGAGGACCTTGCCTTCTCGTACACGAGCCTGCACCAATAGTGGAAGGCTAGAAAAACATGTGTATAAAATTCTGCACAGTTGTGCTAATTTCTCCAATTTTAACATGTAGTTGCGTACAACTTGTACGTAAGAGAGCAGTTAAACACAGAACCTACATAGTTTACTTTTTTTTTATTTGTAGCATCAAATTTAACAACTTGATCTACTGACACAGCATATTCCATGGGTATGTACAAGTGGCATTATTAAACTCATGCAATGTATGTATGTATCTGAAGACACAAGGTACCACCGGTATAAGAAGTAAACAAATTGTTTCAGGAAACTTAAAGCCTTTCGCTATTCAGCTGCATGTAATTTACGTTTCTAAATAAAGAAAAAATAGTGCAGCTAATGGATTGATACAGGTCTTATTGTTTCAAGTTGTGAAAGTCGATATAACTGACAGTGTTTCCAAGAGAACAATGAAAATCTCATATGCTGATGAGCAATCACAAAAGAAAGTTTGAAATCCAAATCGAACCCAATATTAGGCATGTTTGACCTTACCACTATTACATTGAACATGCATGTAAAATCTTAATTATTTACAGTTTTTCTGTAACACAAGCACATAAGCCTCGGCACAGCTTTTTGTAACAAATCACTCTAACCAGAACTTAATTACATGTGCCTCAATCAGCCTGACATGTGGCTTTTGAATTGTCATACACCCTCAATCCAAAAGTTTGTGTCAAGTTTCAATTAAATGAGATATGAACACAAGACATGATTATTAACACATCAATTTTATATACAGCAACACATTAACAAAATTCAGAAGTACCATGTATCATAAATGACCAACTTTTTACCAAGCAGTGTCATGTTACTATTGCAGCATCCATCTACATAATTATGTACCTCACGAAGTCACTCTTAAACTGACAATAATACCTTTACAGAAAAATGTAGACACTTTACTGGTACCAATGACCTTGTTGTAATCTGAAGTTACTTTTTTTCCTCCAACAGCAAAGCCCGATTTTTTATAAGTTATTAAAATAGAAAAAGTGCTTGTGATATTTTGAAGAATTTTGGCACTTGTCATAATTTCAATTAAACACCAACACGACAGTTTTAACGTAGCCTTAATAAGTCCCTAAAAAAAACTGTAAAAAAATGTTCAGCCTCTTTCATTTTACGGTTTTGATAGCTGACGTTATACCCATTGAGTATTATGCAATGTATAAAACCCAGCCCAAATCATCAAGGCCGGTTTATGCTGGGCACGAAAGCCAATGCGAATACAAATTTGTGTCGTCACGGTAAGTTTTCACACAGCGAATTTGCAAAAGTTGAGCACATTTCATCTCCGGCGAATTTTTAAGTGAATGTTTTGTTCTGTCAAATTCGCTACGCATTCTAATTTGCGGTACGTACGGGGTGTCCCACCAAAAAACACCGAACCCTCAAAGCACCTTCTTTGTTACAGCTTTTCAAAATATATCAGAAATATTGATACATGTACATATTCCAAAAGCATATTTCATCAGCTTTTTAGCAACAAAAAAACCCTTCCTATCCGATAAAACATTTATTGAGTTATGGCCGTTTCATAAAAGTGTCGCCTTTTCATTTTGTCCGCGGACCTAATTATTGTCATTTATTAGGAACACAATGGATTTGGGGTGACGGTAGTTTTACTTTCTTTGATTTTTTTTAAAGATCTTTCTTTATTGGTTCTTTTATATTTTTTGGATTTTTTTCTAGCAATTGTGATTTCCTGTTTTTGGAAGATATGGTAGTCCTGAAAAAAAAGACTGTTTTGTTTCAGTTCTTGGATATTTACCGTGTTCTGCTCTGCCCTCTACTTGGTTGTTTAATGGATGCAAATTTCGGACCTTGTTCCCATTGCATCAGTCAAACATCAGTCAAACATCGGACGCCGTGGACAAAATGAAAAAGTAGTATCTTTGTTTAATTAGCCACAACTCGACAAGTCTTCAACCGATTGAAACTATGTTTTCAGTGCATTATAGCTAAAAAAAAGTTTATGGACAACTCAAAATACATTTGACTGATGCTTTTTAAAGCTGTGAAAAAGAGGGCACTTTATGGGTTCGATGTTTTTTGGGGGACTCCCTATATATGAACCAGCCTTTTTGATAATACAAGAAGTTAAAATGTGGTCAGTTTTTCACCAAAAACTAACAAGCAACCAAGCAGCCAAGGTGCGAAATGTGTTTTTTTTAGTCAACTTAAAGTGTATCCATCGATCGAACAAACTATCATATATTACTTAAATAAACGTGATTACTTTAGCGTTCCGTATACCATTTACTGCACGAAAATCTGATGAGCTTTACCCTTGGATTCCAGCTTCAAATAACACCAGTAACTATTGCACACCATTTTGAATGAGTTACAATAACGGCAAAATACACACATGCAAATTTACATTTTCTACTAAATAACACTGAAGTTCCCTTTTAAATTAAGCAATACCTTGGCAAGTCTCTAAATACCCACATGAATTTGCGTTACATGTAAATATATTGCGCGTACATAATTAATACAATGATGCAAACACACAACCGGATGCACGTAGGCCTATATAGATTACTAAAATATTGATATGTTTCTAAAAAATATCTCAATTATATCTCTATTACAGTGGCATAAAAATCTGCATCTATACACTTGAACAAGATGTCAACTTGAACAAGATGTCAACTAAAGACATGTATATTTTGAAATGTACACGTAAATAAATTATACTGAAAATGACAATGTTTATATTATAAATACAAGACAAGGTAAATATATTTAAACCTCAATTTGTTAAAAACTGAAATTGCACAACCGAAAACTTGTTCGTTTACAAAAATATTCAAGGTTTATCATTTGCTGCCTTCCCGATACTCCCCTCTGCTATAAAGTGCCGTACCAACTCCTAATTAATTTTCCTCCGTGTAGATATCTTACAAAACCATTTGTTGAGAAAAAGATAATATCTCTGCCCGTAGAAAATTTGGCATCTCCTGTGAACTTACACCGTATACCATTTACTGCACAAAAATCTGATGAGCTTTACCCTTGGACAGGCACAAACTTCCAGTTTGTGCCTGTATGTTTCTTAATATGGGAAAACTATTCTTTTTTTCTCTCGTTTGGACGTTGCATCCCTCTGAAAATGTGCTTCTTTTTGGTAAAGTTTGCAACCACAGTGCACGAAAAGATATGCCTGAATGATTGTCAAGCCGCAAATAATTCGACTTTTGTCAAGTAAATATTCCATTACTAAACGTGAGGCATTTTTTCCCTTTTCTTCTCGATGTCTCGTAAGTTAGTATCATTTGTGTTGCCAGAAAAAAAAATTGGAAGGGGGTGTAAAACTTGAAAATAACGTGGGAAGAACAACTTTAACCCAAATGGCCTTAAAAAGAATAAGCGTCTGAAAGATCCGAAATTTTGGCCCTCAACAGGTCTCTCACACATACAGGTCGCAATTATAACATTTCTGTTTTGGCTACAAAGTTGATGATGACATATATGTCTTAAAGTAACATTTTTTAGTTTATTCGCACCCCTCCCCACACTCAAACTTACTGGCTTTGTGTAATACTGAAAACATATCTCATGAAAACGAATCTCTGTTGAACAAAAATCCAGTACTGACGAATATTTGATCCAATTTGCCACGAATATATGACAAATGTTTGTCCTGTCTCTCCTTAGTAGCTGTCGTGTCTTACTGCTGTCCTGACGTAAAAAGATGACGCACTCGCACACATCCTCACTTATGGACCATTGAACTGTTGATAAATAAAACCCAAAAATCCTTTTCGCATACTTATTCAAGGCAGTTTCATTTAATACCATGTAATTTCAGGAAAGATGTGGAATATAATTTGAAGCTTTTCATGTGTCTGCTTACGTTACCCATTTTTAGCGGTATTCGCAATTTTACTGTTTCACATCGTGTATGCATACACTTACATACATGTACGCTAAGCTATTTCTTTGGTCCAAGTGCCAAAGTTGTCAAGACTTGTTTTGATTCATCTTGTTTGGAGCGCCCTCTACCGCCATGGCAGGGACAGCTGCATTACGCATTTCTACTGTGTGTGCCCCAGAACCCATCCAGAAACACTAAAGGGTACACCCCAGAAAAAAAGGCCGAAAATCCGTCCGCCGAGCTCATGATTAAAAGTGATACACTCAAATTATTATATATTTGAGAGTTCTGGAATCATGGAATTGTGGAAATGAAGACATATGGCACTGCGCCTCTGGTCTGGACTTGGGTCGTCCAATTCTGAGCATTTTGGATGCAATTGGGTCCTAAAGTGGCGTTAATTATCCATGTTTTGGAGGGATCTTTTTTCAAAATTTCTACTTTTGTAGTTTGGGAAGCATTCGTTTTAGGGTTGGTCTTCTTTAAGTGAGAATTTCTCCAAAAAGTAAATGTCAACCCACAAACAAATTGTACAGAAACTAAAAGATGACATGTTGATCATCATTTTTCTGTGCAACCTGAACACCTGTCAGAGTTCAGAATATTTTAAAAAGAATCTTGAAGTATGCGGATTTATCAATGGAGTCTATAGGATTTTGTATCCTTGGGTGCACCCTATAACTCACCTCAGCAAGTCAATGGGCAGTGGGAAGATAATGGTCGAGTTCTTCTCCGCCGAGATGGTGTTGAGTGTCTGTAGGTAGCGGAGCTGGAGGGCGCTGGGTGATTCAGCGATGACATCAGATGCCTCCTTCAGAGCTCGGGAGGCGTTCCGTTCCCCCTCAGCGGCAATGACCTATCAAACAGATGAAAATACATCGTTAGTGTGTTTAAGCTCACTGCGTCACTGTCATGTGGAGATGCTATGGTTTTGTGCACACTCTAAGGTCATGTGTACTCTGTAAACCTGTACAAACCTGTATGAACAAGTGATTAGTTTTGGTCCAAGAACAGAGTTTCGAACCCCCCCCCCCCCCCCCCCCAATGCAGCTGGTCTTGATCCCTGGAATAATTGCTAATAAATCTTCACGTAAAGCACGGTAAAGGCCAGATAGAATTTGTATTTGTTCACAAATTAATAGGATGTTTTACGAATTTTATAATGGGGTCAAGCGTTATTATTTATATTCTTTATGGATTGTGCTCAGGATTTACCAGACTGATGTGAACTCACATTTTCAACGAAGATTCTTATAAGATTCTTTTTAATATTCATATTAGATTTCAGTATAACTCTTTTGGGATCTTACTCATTCTTCTAAAAATTTCTGTTAAGATTCCAGTGTAACTCTTATCAGATCTTAATCACTTGCATATAAACTATTATTGTTCTTAGAAATTCACAAGGTTCTTATAAGATTCTCAAAAGATTCCTATATGATTCTTATAAGATTCTTATCAGAGTATTTCGTAGGGGGCACTATCAGCTATATGAATCAAATCCAGTCTTGGGAATATTGGCACCAAGACCCAAGAAATCCCAACCAAACGTGTAACTCACACATAGGCATTAGCTTGAATATAATGCTCAGCATTTCTCCTGTCCGAGTGCCAAAATTCTCAAAGACTGGATCTTGCTGATATCATGCACCCTCTCCCACTGCGGTGATGTGACCACACTTGCCAAGGACTGGCAGCTTTAGTGGAACAGCATCCAAAGCCAGACTTAATCAAAACTAACCTACTGATACTGATATCCTGAGTAAGCACCATCTACAGTTGTGCGAAGCGCTATAATCCAGTGTCACGGTGTCTCCTTGCATGCATATCTCATTGACATAAATGTGTAAACTAGGCTAATACAGGGTTCACAATGCAGCACATATACTTGTGTACATGTAATTAGTCATCAGCTATTTTTTAGTAACCTAGTTGATACATTTTCTTCTGGTTCATGACAAACATGACCTACAATGTACATGTGTGGAAATACATGAACATGCATCCCAGCCATAAGTCTTTTTGAGACATGGCGGACACAAAAGGAGGGCGCTATTTGGAGTGAGTGAACACACCAAATAGCAACCTCTTGTGTTTAGTTAATGTAGATTGAGGAGACTGACCTTTGCCCTGGCCTCCCTGGCTGCTTCTGCCTCTGCCGCCATGGCACGCTGGAGCTGAACCGGCAGGCGCACGTCCTTACTGAAACAAAAAAAAAAACCCGTGCAATTAGGCCAATTAGTAGAGGAAACGATGCCACTTTGGACTCTGTACACGAACAGGAGATGGCAATTGTGGGACACATCGTGTGCGCATGCTGTGCTCATTATGATGCGAAGTACGCATCTATTCGAAATCGAGACAATAATTAAACCACTGCGCTTGAGCATCAGTTGTCATCTGCAATGCGTCCAAATATCCTTCCCAGTGGTCTCCACAAACGCTCCCTTTGTAACCGTTGAGGGGATATTTGTTTGCATGTGCACTGAGTCCATAGACCGAATTTAGATGACATCACATCTGTTATTGTTACGAAAAATTTGAGTGGCAGCCAAAGAGCTATATTAAATTATATATAACTCTATGGTGGCAGCACAGTGAGCTCAAGAGTAATATGACTTTGGTGCGCAGGCATGCGTTGAATGCCACTCAAAATGTGATGTCACAAATTACGTCTATGGACTCTGTGCACAAGTGCCCCCTCAACGGTTGCAAAGGGGAAGACCACTGGGAGGGACTTTCGAGCGCTTTGCCGACAGTACCTGATCCTCAAGAGAACAGACTGTGGGTTTGGGTACATTCCAGAATAAAAACTTGAACTATGTCTGTTCGATGAACAGAACATATGGCTTCTCCGCACTATGATTTTTTTTTGGTGAGCTTAGGCCTATGCTTTTTTTGACGATTACAATTTTGTAAATGAAGATTTCGTGAACAAAATGCATTTAAAATGTAACCTTTTGCTAGTATAGCCAAAATTATGAAAGTTTAAACATTTGTCATAAATCATTTCATGACGTCATCTTGATGTCATTTCGAATTTTGCGTACTAGCAACATTATCTACCTCCCCACCAAGTTTCATGACGTTTCAAAGTTTAAACCCAATCCGCCAAGTTTTTTGTTGATACAGGCCACTGAAAAATGCACCTTTAAGATGACGTCACATGACACACGATAACGTCATCATGACGTCAATCTTCTGGACGCAGTTTTGCTGTAGGGACTATGCCTATGCAAACTTTGAATGATGTATCAGTGACGAAAATGAATGCCCAAAGTGGATGTCACAAAAATCATGTGCAATGTATATGGGATTTGGTTGAAACAAAAAGAAGTGGGAAGAGGAAGAACAAAGACAAAAAATCAGAACACAAAGAAAGGCTATTCCGCAACTTTGGAGCCAATAAGTCGTGCGTACTTCACACCATGCATGTATACGTGAACCAGTATTGTGCACGTGGTGTGTCCTTCCCACCGGAGCACTTGCAAGTGGTCGCAAAGCGCCATCTACGAAAACAAAATTTTCATTACGTACACATCTACATGTATGTATTATTGTTCCGTCACAATTTGAGTGGCAGCACAGTGAGTACATACATGTATATAAACCAATACATGTATGTGAATTTGGTGCTCAGGCATAGGCTGAACGCCACCCAATATACGATGGCACAAAATAAGGTCTTAATTATAAGAGCCCCATGTACATAGGTACATTGTAGTTGTTGATTGAACACATTTTTATATCATTTTCTCTTTACCATCTAAATTACAGCTTCATCAGGTAGTCCCTTGACCTAACTTTGCGTGCATGGTGCATGTACATGTAGTGCACGGACATGCATAATGACGCCACTTAATTTTACAACCTGGTTTCACACGACCGGCAATATTGCCGCCAAAATTGCTAACCAGCTGTTTTGCTATTAAAAGTAAAGTACACATAGCAGCCTGGTTGACAGGTTGGTGTTATTTGGTATCAGTGGGGATAACTAGTCGTAAAAACCTAAAAGGCTCAATGATGCATTTCAAGGAAATTAACGGTTGTTTTTTTTAAGTGTGAAGTATTCATGGTATTCTTCACCAAAGCAATTACTGAATCAACTGACAGACAGGCGGAACATAATTAAACCTGGTTGTGAGCATCTGTCGCAATTTGGGAATATTTGAAGAAATACCATGGCCCAAATTTGTAAGTAGCCTTATTTTAGGGAAACAATATTGAGGAATATTTAATTTCTAATTATTACAGGAATCCCATTTCCTCACCACTATATTTTTGTGGAAGGAGTCTATACATGCATGGAGCACAGAAAAAAAAAAGTTCCACGGACGCTAAACAATTTCCTTGCCCCATTTGGGATGACAACTTGATGATACATGAAATATGTAAATATTTACAGAATCAATATTAGGTCTTTCTATTCAAGCTGATAGTTTCTGTTTACTGTCAGCCCGTCATGATTTACATTATTAGGGTACATGTTTAAATCTCAACCGACTGGGCAAATTGTTTTTGTATGATCGAGTGATGTAGAAATCACAAGGAGTCGAGAGATTTGAGGCCGTCCCTAACACTATTAGGGAATAGACTTGTATGCTGCCTATCCCCACTTGACTTTCTCGGAACCATGACCCTGGAAAAGATCAATCCGAGACAAACAGTGAGTGGAAAATATGATTAGGGGGATAACGATTTAGACAGAGATGGGGGAAACACACAATAATTTAGCTGGCAAGGGTGAATTTGCAGTGGAACATGTCAAAGAAATTGAAGGATGCATCAAATTGTGAAACATACTATTTTGGGAAATCATTCAACCGAAAATTCAGTATAGAGGCATTTATAGTAGGTTTGCTCTCATGGAACACGTGGAAACAGATCTTGGATGTAGGAAAGTATTTGAGTCAATACAATTAACGCTTGCAGTTGTGAAAATCAAATAAATAATACATAAAAATCAACGAAAACTGGTCACCCTATATACTCTTCAACACATTCAATTTTATTATCCTTATGATTTTCAGTTAGTATTGTATGTTCTATTTTAAGTGAATTTGGTTTTTCTATTTTGGGAGTCTGCATCCCTCTGTTTGGAGTTGCTTTCTCACCAACACAAAAAGATATCTCAGAATTTCTTGCTGACCCACAATTTTAAAGTAAAGTAAATTGTAAAGTAAGTATTCCATAATTGAAGGTGGCCAGATTTTTTTTTTCATGATTTTTTTATTAAAGATTTTTATGTCTCATCTAGAAGTGAATAACCTTGCATTGCTAGAGAAATAGCAATTTTATAAGTGATCTACAGGTGTTATTCGGTGTGAAACTGGAAAATAGCACGCATAAAGCAAATTATAATGCTCCAAGAAGTGAATACACTTTTTTGTGTCATCTGATTTCTCAGTCCTAAAATTCAACATTTGTAAGTCCCCGCATTCTTGAAGTCTTTCCATTTTGAACAGTATTTAAAAAGGATTTTCCTTTCGAGGGGGGGGGGGAGTAAGGAGTGGCATGAACTGCATGAACTCCTATAGGCTTTTTTTTCATCATCTTCATGTTCCGTATCAAATTAATACATACATCAGTCTCATATATCATTTCCAGCCTTCTTATTCAGGCAACCTGTGCATACAGCGACCAGCACGGAGAAATGATAATTCACAAATCCCACATTGATATTTCAAATCATGATCGAGTGCCTACTCTTTAGGAATTTCCCCTCAACACTCCCTCCAACCTTCGTAATCAATTTCTCCTCCGGGGCAAAACATCGATTTCTCTTTCAGATGGCTTCTTAATACGGCATATCGTACAGGAACCCCCTATAGTCAAGGCTTATAAGCCTTAAAACCTTTGCCGCATAATGATGTACCTGTCCTGTCAACTAATCAGCGCCGGTAGTGAGATAAATAATATGCACGCAGAATATTCTCAAAGGGAATCTTCTGTTTTTGAACTGCACAAACCCATTCATATCTGTGCATCATCTTCAGAACTGAACGCCTTTCAAGATCCATTACACACGTGTACATGGATTATTTTAATCGTATAAAGGCTCGCATTTTAGGAATGCCAGTTTCAGACTATTGCATGAATTCAGGAAAAACAAACTCAGGCATTTCATCCCTTCACAGACTGGAAAAACATACCCTCATGTAGCATGCACTTTGTGCATCCGATGCTGCCTGGCAATTATAGCCCAGTACACAAATGTATTAATTGTAAGTTCAATGTTAGACACTGTACACCTGTGTTGTATTGCAGTGTGTTTATAGTGTACTGCAATCGTTTTGGCATGCGTGCCGTGCCGTCTTTCACATTTGTCAGGCCCTGGAGCAAAAATCTACTGGCATTCCTGCATTTTGATCTTCCAATATACGTTTTAAATACAATCATTGACTCATTTGCTCTGATCTGAGTTCTTCAAAATATGTCCACACATATAAAGATATTCTCCCTGCTTATATGTAATACATTCAATATCGGGTTTTGCCCTTCACTGACACATTTTGTAATAATGAGGAAACGAAAATTGGTATGCATGTATATATTAAAAATCGTCCGTGAAAGGCCAAACCCTTCACTTGAATTTACATCTCCCCAACGCAAGTTCTATCCTATAAATAGTTTGATATAAAAACCAACTATACAATGTGTGTATTCCAATTCCAGGTGCATGTTCATGTGTTCAGAAAGCTTTTACAAAATTAATGTGATATGTCATACATCACTGCACAAACTACATGTACATGTACATGTACATGTACATGTAAATGCATCTGGCAGCGCCACGCACGTGTAATAACCATCACCATTTTAATCAAAATTAATGGCATTTGAACGGAACAAATGTGAGGTGGTGATGGGTTGAGAATAGTGCAATCACTGCAATCACGAAATGCATGTGCTGCATAATAGTTTAATTAAAATTGCTGGCAATTTAATTTTTGCATTTACAATGTTAACCGGAGTATCAATTGGTATTGGTAGCATATTACGGTAAAGTTGTTAATCCTAAACTTCTTAATGAAGTTATGCTTTCAGTACTTTTACACACACACACAAGTGTGTGTTTGCCTGCAATCGCGGACCCCCTATTGTCCCTCTTTTGTTTGTATACTAACTTTTTGGGAAGACCTCCCATATGTTTTGTACACGAATCTAAATTGGGGACCTCTCGGAGATTGGGGACCCTAACGTCCTTCATTGTTCAACGGCCCCTATTCGAATGCAGAGACAAACTCACACACGTGCAGCACCCCATGTTTATGGTGTAAATCTAGGATTTTCTTTTGTTCTTTTTCCTTTTTTCTATTATTTTCTTTTGTTCCTCTTCCTTTTTCCTTTGTTTGTACTTTTCGCAACAGCTCTCATTGGTTTTGTACACGTTTTTTAATCGAGGTCGTCCTCGATTTGGTTCCTGTCCTCGATTCACCGATGATGTTGAATGTGTGTGTCCTCGATTAACACCATAAACAAACGCACTGACACACACACACGCACATGTTTGTTTTAGATACGCTATGTGGACATTCCTTTGTTTTCGTGTAATTATAAGAAAACTCGGTACAAAAAATAACTTTTCTTAAACTGTGAAAACTCTTTCAACCCAATTTTTTTCTGTGATTCCCTAAAGTGTTTCTCTTCATTCTGTCACAGATAAATCTAACCCAAAAATGCCTCTAAACCTGTTTCCAGAGGGCGAAACGTTATGTGGACACGGCTTAGTCCACATAACGTCAACACAACCTGCATTATGTGGACATCTTTTGTTCACAAGTCCACATAGTGAATGTAAGACAAACTCACACACACCACAAATCTGAAGCTGTCTGCATAAGACAGCCCAACAAATGCAAAAAAATTTGATACTCACATCTCGACACGTTCCACCTTGATGCCCCAGGGATCTGTTGCTTCATCCAAGCTGGACTAAAGAAAACAAAAACCAAGTAAGAATTGTTCAAGGGTTTGTTTTGACTGAAAATATCCCCTTCTGCAGGAAGGAACAGTAAAAAACTAAGCCTATGCCACAATTTCCACTTTCAATGAGTTTCATGGTGAGTTGTGCTTGAACACATCCATGGGCGAAGAAACAAAATCATACATGTTCATGTAACATTGATATTGTGTATTGATGGTTGTCAAAATATCAGATTTCTGAAACCATTTTTTTTTCGAAATGAAAAAAAAATCGATAAGTATATTCAACAGTATGAAATGTATTTCAATGGTTCAGAGATTATGTCAACATGTACTCAGTAAAGTGAAAACTTTTTTTTTCTTCATGTTTTTATATTCCTCCTCTTCTTGGTCTTTTCTAAAATGCAGGTTTTTTTTTAAAATGCCAATTTGGTCACATCTCAACCTCTCATTCATACTACATATCGCGGCCGACATACATGTACATCTCAGGGCAAGATCTATAATTATGCGTCGTAACGCTGCGACGTTTCCCAAGTCTTGCGACATGTTTCATGAAACACTGGTACACATGGCAGAATGATGACAGCTAGTGTTTCTTCTGGGGTGAGAATACTAAAACACAACATTCATTTGCCAGGTTATCAGGGACACTTTCACACCTGTGGACACTTCAGTGGATAAGAACTGTGAGATGTGTGAAACCATTTAGATATTTGCCGCCTTTTTGTTCTTAACATTGCAACAACATTATTGACGATTAACCTGAACTGACATGCAAACCAGCTCAAATCACCAAGCATAATTTGTCAAAAAATTAAACAATTCTGGCTCCATTTAATTTCACTGAAACAGAAGAATTGGTGGCCAAACAACTTCACGTCTTGGACTGGAGATTCCGAGAAACACAGCTCATGCGGTACCACCATACTTGCATGCCTGCATCGCTCACGCGTTTGTGGTACGAGACAAGGATGAAAACATCTATTCGTGTAACCAAAGAAATCTATTGGAGGATTTCACACGTCGAATTTACAGATTTGTCATCTTGAAACCTTGACACCTTGGGCGTACGTGGGACCTTCCTCACATTATTTTTGACACTGAGGACAATTTATAGAGTGGTCTACAGGTCTGAAAGGTCGTACATTGTCGTGTAGTAACATGCACGCGTGCATAAATGCACGAAGCTAGACGAGGCAACACAAGTAACATGTACATGTACATCAGTCACTTCGCAGATGTCACAACCTTGCTGCTGCATAAAGTAATTGCGTTATGTCTTGGTTTGCACAAGTTGTGAATGAAAGTTGCATCCATATATACGTGACAGATAGAAAAGCCTACTGAAAATTTCATTATTGCTTGTATTATAACATGTAGAGGAACAATTCTGACTTATTTTCCTGACATATCCACTGTCTTCTAACGAAGTTCCCAAGCTTGTCCGATGCCAGCACTGTGAGTTTTAGAAATTTAGGTATCGCAGATCTAGATGCAACTATAGGCAAATCCCTCTGCCAAATTTCTCTGACATACAAAGTAAAAATTTAAGTCATGACTGTAATATACAGAGATTCTTCATTTCTCTAAAAACATGAACAAGTTTTGAAGTTGAAAATTAATATAATGCACAAAGTCAGTTTGGCATATTTGAAAATCTGTGATAAAAAGCCGTATCCTCTCTAAGTGATCCCAATTTGCCACAATTTCCCAAGTTTGCAGCATTGCTTATGTTTCTAACACTGACTTTGGGCGTGATCCCTGGCTGCATGGCTTTATTGCTTCTGGCTTGCGCCCCTTGAACATTTTGTTGAAACAAGGCATTGGGCCAACCTCAACATAGGGCTGGATAGCTCAGTTGGTAGAGCACCGGTATGGTAATCCAGAGTTTGCAGGTTCAAACCCCATTCCTGTCAATTTCTTCGGTCAACTTTGACATTTTTTTGTTAAGTTTGGTTTGATTACAAACCATATGTGGAAGAAAAAAAATACATCTTCAAATGATTCTCTATAAAAAAAAATCCTCAGGTAATAATACTACGAAATATTCAAACCGAAGTCGATATACTTTAATTTCAAGAATAGAAGAAGCCCCACGAATGAGTAAATGACTTAAAAATATCGTACATGTACTTCCTCTTTTTTTCCCATTAGCCATTATCCTCAGTCTACTGAATTTCATGCTCCAATAAACCTTTTGCATGATGGTATCAAACACAGTCTGCTTTGTGGTGAAAGCGTCCTGCGTTTCAATATGCCAGAGCCAATATAGCTAGATATAATGTGATGTTATGCATGAAGGAGACCTTCCGGACGGAGACAATATAGCAATGTAAATGAGCCACGAAAAATGTACATTGGCAGGCATTCATGAAATGCTTTCGTTAAGGTCAACAATATTATTCTGCTAGTCCACATTTGATATCACATGTTCACGAAAAGGACGACTGAACTATACAGAGTGTGGCAAAAAAGTGCAACATTCAGAAAACCAATAATCAAAACTGTTTAATGTTATTTTTTTCAATGAAACTATATATTACATTAAAGCATTACCTTTTCGCAATCTACTCCTTTTTACCCAATTCCCTTTGGGTCCTATAGATCCAGACATGCAATCAATTAAGTGAAAAAGTGTACATTTTACTTGGGCCACTATCACCTGTGATATCACCAACTTCAGTGCCAGATTCAGCATGTCCAGGTGAGAGCGGCCCAAGTAAAATTTACACCCTTTCACTCAATTGATTGTAATTTCTGGATCCAGGGACCCAAGTGGAGTGGGGTAAAAAGGAGTGGATTGAGAAATAGTCAGGCTTTAATGTAGTATATAATTTCATTGAAGAAACCACATTATAAACATTATTTGTTTTCTGAATGTTGCAATTTTTTGGCACACCCTGTATTATCAAAAGAGATGATTTCATGAGGTATTCGTGCGTGGACGTCTGATGTAATTTTGGATACTTGTTGATCAAATTACATTCTGTTACCCTTTTACTTTGAATACTGTGACCACAATTACATCGAAGGCTGCTCTCTTCGTGTAACAGGTCTACTCTTGAACTGCAAGGCCGGTTCAGTTCACACTTCATGCGAATGTGAAACGCAAAGGAAGTTTGTAAGGAAACATTCCAGGGCGCGCACAGAAATCTTCACTGCGGAGTTGAAATGTACGAAGCTGTGTGGTGAAAACTGTTTCCCTCTAACTTCTGTTAACTTTCCCTCTAAGTTCTCGTACTTTAACTCTAACTTTCCTTATAAGTTCATTCATCGCGTGATTGCTTTCTGTTTTAAATCGCAGAATAGTAAATTCCTCCAATTGAAAAAACAAAGGGGTTGCTTGAAAAGTGGATTATATTTTCAACTGATTTCAAAATGAACAATACATTTAGCACTGGATTTTGGTGAAATTAAATACATTCTCAGACAATTATCTGAATATGTCAAATCAAATTTGATTATATTTACTTTTGGTACAGTTAAACTACAGCTAGTGTGCTACTTTCCCAATGCTTCACGAAAACAGAATGCTCCATTGATAACTTCGCATGTAGATCCTCAGTGATTCATTGAGCACAAATTATCCTCTTGACTTCTCAACTACAGATAAAGTAGAACTTGCAATGGATCACGTAGAAATAAACTATGCCACTTGAAGCAGTTAATATTTGTATACTGCATACCTGCATGAAATGGCTGATTCCCTGATCTCAGCCAGGTTCTTAGTGCCCAGCACGTTACATAGTGTGGTGTGAGCCACCAAGCGAGTGGGAGCAAAGTTGTACTATTATGCCACTTATATAAGCAGTCAATATTAATTTGTGTACTACATACCTGCGTGAAATACAGGCTGATACCTTCTGATTCCTTCCCTATTTGACAGGAAATGTGCAAGATTTGCTATTTTCTATTTGTTTCCCTCGGCTTCGCCTTGGAAAAACAGAACTCTCCACCATCCACTTTGGGAATATAGTTTTACTGTACCATTCCAGGCAGTCAATATTTGTATATTACAGGCCAGCATGAAATGGCTGATGCCCTCTCTATCCTATACAGGATCTTAGCCAGTTTCGTAGTGCCCAGCACGTAACGCAGTGTGGTCTTCGCCAGCAGGTAACCGCCTGCTGGTGAAGGAGGATATATAGTGTTATACCACTCGAAGCGGTCAATATTTTTTTATACTACATACCTGCATGAAGTGACTGATGCCCTCTCTATCAGATAGGATCTCAGCTAGGTTCTTAGTGCCCAGCACATTACGCAGCGTGGTCTGAGCCAGCAGGCGGGTGGAGGCGTTGGCGTTCTCCACATTGGCAATGGATATAGTCGCATTCTGTACACGGTAGTAGACCACGGCGTCTACCGATACCGTCACGCTGTCTCGGGTCAGGACCTATTCAAAAATGAAAAACTCTAAAAATGGGACTCCTTTGTACTGTAATGTTTTGTTGTCCACAGTTAATGATTTCCTTCCAAAAGAATCATCAAATCTCAAACTAATGTAGATAGTCTATGAGACGTCCTAAATGTTTAAAATACCGTTTCTAATACAAATACATATAAAATACTGTTTCTAATATATTATCATTTTAGGAATCTAAAACATATTTTGTGTTCTTGAATTGTTTCTGTGAGGAAGCGGCCTACACAAAAAAGAAAAATGATTTTTGGCATTGTGTGATTAAACAACATCCCTGTGGATCTTTTTTAATAAGAATATTATTCAATTTTTATCAGTGATTTGTCTTGTTATGGGGCAGTATACACCTTTGCCAAACAATGATCACAAGTAATATCCTTTAGCTAAGGAATTCTTGGAACTTATCAAACCGAGAGTCTTGTTTTTCTTGGAATTGCATGATAAGCTTTTATAATACAAAATGCTATAGAGTCTGCTGAATTGGTTGAAGCCACCTGTCGTGTTTAGGGTTCACAACTTAATACGTCCCTTTGCAAACATGGAATCATTCCCTCCACCTCTCTCTTGCTAGTCTCAACAAATACATTTTTGAGCAAATGACCCCAAATTATAATAGTAAAGACATCTCAGTGCTGAACATTGTGGAGTGACTTCCAAGCTATTTGCAGGTATAAACTCTGCACGTCATTCTAACGTACAAGTCATGCTTTTTTCTGCTTTAGTTTCTGCACCAGTACTCAGTAAAAACATCCATTACTCGCCCAGGCCTACTGCTGATCACATACACCCATGCTGAACCGCATTAGGTATATTCCTCTAATATACCTAAGAAGAACTCACTTGGGCTCTGGCAAATAAAGATGCATCCCAGATAAAATGAGTGAAGAACCCGTAAATCATCCCTGACAACCATCTTGGCTCCCCCGGGTGTACTGTGGGGAACGTAAGCCTGCGATATTAGCCAGCGCTGCGAATTAATCAAACCCCACTGAACAAACGGCCATCGCATCTGAAACGATCTTGTCTTTGGCTGAAATATGGCATGCTGAGAAGTGCATGTAGTGTACGTGCATGTCGTGCACGTACACTACATGATGAAAAGGGCATGAGATTGACGGTGAAGTCAAATGTATTGGCTTTTCAACTGGTCAAGAAATAAACCATTTCCAAGCTTCAGCGCGTGCGACAGGCTGCTTATGTGATCTTTGCATCTTATCAGAAAGCATATATAAAGCTGCGAATATCAAACCGCAATCCTGCTGATGCAAAAGAACATTGATGCATTTGCAGCGAAGGGTTGATATTTTCCGCATTGTGTTCTTCATAAATAAATGTATATGGTGCATGAAAGAATAGTATGCGTAAACATCGTTTTGAAAAGAAATCACCCTCACCCCTCTGGTTAAATTATATTTTAAAAAGGACATTATTCATAAAATGGAATATAAACACCTTATACTCAGTGTGTTAAAAGAAAGGACATTATATTTATTAAATGTTTTTGCGGGAGGGGGTTAATGCTCCCCCTACGCAAGTGATTTGCTGGTCTACACATACCTGTTAAAGTATGGCTACAAGGCTAAAAGTTAAAAAAAAAAATTGTTTAAAGTTAACATGGCAAACTATACCCGGCTATAAAGACTAGACATTTTCAAATCTAAAACTGTTGTTAAGAGCAAATAAAGTCATCAAAAGCAGTTTAATCCTTAAACTGATTTTTGTACATGCTCAAATTGAAATTTGTTTACTGGACTTAATTGAAATTCAAAACTAGTTTAGTCATCCAACTATTTGTTTTTCTTTTTAAAATGTATATAAACGTATTGTGCATCCAAGAAGGGAAAGATGGTTATAAATCGTTTAAAAGAAAAAGGACGGTTTTTATTGACTGGGGAGGGGGTTAATGCCCCTGGTGCTCCTATTCGTAAGTGATTTACTGGTACTGTACATACACCTGTTCAAGTGTGGCTACAAGGCCTACCCAGCTATGAAGACTAAAGCTAGATATTTGCCAAATCTAAAACTGTAATTGAGAGCACATCATAAACGATTTCACCCATACATTTTTTTTTTGGTCATGCTCAAATTGAAATGTGTTTACAGGACGTCATTGAAATTAATAGCTAGTTGAGTCATCAATGCTGTTTATTTCCAAGTTAGTACTATTTATTTCTTTACCTCTTGAGGCGGCACGTCAAAGGAGACTGTCCGGAGGTCCACCTTGGTATAACTCTCAATGCAGGGGAGTATGAAAAAGATTCCTGGAAAAAAGAAGCAGAATTACATCTTCGATTTTACCAAGAAAAAACATTCAGGGCTTTAATAGGCAACAGACTGTGCATGCCTTCACATATGTCGTTATGCCATAAGCTGCAATTGTAGCAAAATGTCTTACTCGAGGCCACAGGTGCCATGTAAATCCACTACCTCCATTTGCGTTATGAGTTCTAAGAATATTTAGAACTTTGATTTGATTTGTCTGATTTGATTTGAAATGGTTGATTATCTTTCGACCATAGCAGCCAAAAGCTAAATTGCGGGCAAATCATATTAAAAACAAAAAGTTGCACATACGAAAAAAAACCCGAGAGAGCTAGGACATTACAATAACTTCAAAGAGCAAATGATACAATGATCAATAACTTTGAGATATAAAGTTGACTCTAACTAGAGTTGTGTCTCAAATTTGGAGCATTTTACAACATGTTAGAATGTACTTTTTTTGTCAACTTTGCATTTGTTGGGTTAATTATAAGTTGTGTAAATTGTGAATTTCACATGTAGGTCAAGAGTAAAAAATATATAAAACATAAAATATCCTACATATCCTTGAACATAGACTGTCCTTTCCAATTGGATGTGGGTGTCAGAAAGTGCAAGATGACTACAAATATTCACCTCTAATGCAATTTCTTGTGTAGCATATGAAAACAAAATTTAGTTTTGCACATAATTGCGTGCCTTATCACAACAGAAACACTTGTTTTTAGAGGCGTAAGCCAGTTTATGCACTCCAGCTTGACAGGTTTTGTTTCTTTTCAATTAGCTAAATTGATGGGTCCCAGGACTCATTTAGTTTCATGGGAATAATAAGTTGATGAGAAACTGCTTGGAAATAATTCGCTTGCCAACATTCCAGGGTTATTTGTTTTAGACGTCGTAGACGGAGGAGTTAAATACACATTATAATTGATGACGCAATCTTATTGATTTTTTTTTTAATTTTCGATGCGTGATATCATTTGAAACTAATTAACAAATTAATGTTTACGTGCTTTTTAATGAGTCAATTATGCATTATTTCATGCAAGTATTTCAACACAACTACAGTGTGTCTAAAAAAAACCACATGAAGCAGTAAAACAACATTTGAAACAACGGGTTTTTTTCCCAACAAAACTAAATCCTTTTTTTTTTGGGTGGAAAAAAATTACAGTTAGATGATGGAGTGTGTCTTTACCCTTGAGAGGATTTTTGTTCCGTGTTGTATGGACCGTTTGTTTAAAAGTTACGGTAAAACTTGTAAAGTCTCAAAATCTGGATGGGCCACTTTCTTGTGTTTTTACATATCTTACCTGTTCACCGTTTGGTATGGGTTGGAGATTATTTCTTTTAGACAATGATTTCAGGACAACAACAACTTTGTAAGTAACGATTCTGCGACACCAAGTCTTACTTTATTAACGTTAATGTCCCTTCCTTTTTTCAAAAGCATAACAGTCAAGTTTTGATGTAAATTTAAAGTTGCTGAAAGGAAATTGCACTTGTTTGGTTCGAAGTGCAACAACACACCTTCTTGGTATGTGAATGTCTTTCATTGGATACCACATAATCTGAAAAGTGGCCGAATTTGAAATTAAAGTCTTTTCATTTCAGTACCTGTATCTCTTGTCTGGGGTGTTCAAATGAGATGGGATAAAGACCATTGTGTAGAGTATTTCCTATACCTTCAGACTCAACGGATAAGTTTTCCATCCAAAGTGCTAGTAATTTTTTATATTTATGGATTGACTGCTACATTTTTATTGACACACGCTGTACAATCGATACATTGGTTCATCACAAACCTGGACCCTTTGCGCCTCCCGGCAAGAGGCGACCCAGACGAAAGATGACAGCCCGCTCATACTCTTGAACCACCTGAACAGAAAAATGGTCACATGAAAAAAAGTGTTTAAAAATAGGGTTATTCTGAATATACCAATTATCTTCCATTATTCGAATTGCATTGTTTCTTGACATGAACATTTGAAACAAAGGAGCTATACTCAAGAAAGTGATGGACTAAACATCCATGGTGTTATTTTAAACGTATAACTAGCAAGATTTTTTTTATAGTTAGTCCAATGCCAATTTTGTTTGTCGACAGTCACTTTGCACGCATGATTTGAAAGCTTTTGTGAAGACTTATCTCCAATTTCCTCTTTAAAATCTTTCAAATATCAGCGAGTCGGCTACCTCAAATTATACAGGGTGAATCAAAAAGAAAGTGACCTGGATTCATGATTTGTTTCCGCCTTGAAAAGCAATTAAATTCGGCACACCAACGAAGCATAATAAACGGGCATGTTCTTCCACTCATTTGACAAAAAAAAAGAATTAGTGAAATTCATCCATGCTTTGACAAGTTATGCATATGTTACAAAAAAGAATCCATTTTTACAGATGTCCATGGATTGCCATTTGAAGCTATTGAATTGAGTGAGAACCAGAGATCACACACAGGCATTCAGATACAAATGTCATTTGTATAATTTCTGTCAAGACTGAAACATTATTTTTTACTGTCAGATTTGTGTTTTGAATATGTAATTTTTCAGAAGTAACGAAGGTGAATTTTGTTTGTTTTCCTGTGCAAATGTTCGTTCATTCGTGACGACAGAAAACACTCGTTGCATTGTATTTGAACGGTAAATGATCATTGGGGAACAGCTGAGTTTTGTGATGTTCGTATTTAAATAGACCTAACTTGTTAACATAGTTCGCAAATTACGTCAAATTTTCACAGTTACTAGTCAATAATATGAATGCAGCGAGCCACATGTTTTTAAATATTTTTTTTGGTCTCACTACTGGTAGGTCACTTACTTGATATTTATTATTGTCGACAGGTGCACGCAAATCCTGATTGGAGGCCCATCTAAATCCCGACCAGCCAACGCAGTTTTGGCTGTTGCATGTTAGATTTGCTAGGCATGTCTCGAATATTCAAATATTCGAACATTCGCCTATTAATCGAATCCAAGTTTGAATGATCGAATACTGAATTATTCGGAAATGCGCAGCGCTATTAAGACAAATTTAGGCCGAGTACTCATTTAATTTAATTTTGTAATAATCAAGGAGGAATTAAGTTGGGCGACTGTTCATGAGTTAATTATTTTAAAACAAGTGCAAGTGCACATTAGGCTCTAGCCGTCTGCCATGAAAATCTTGCCTGAAATCTATCATTGCCTGACATGGTCTGCGTTAACGTAGCATGTACATGTACATGTACACGTAGTGTGAATAAGTAACTGACTACTTATTCAACGTTGAATGTCGAACGGGGCACCGGTCTCCTTTCCGCATCAGTGAATGACCAAAATAAGCCCCCCTGAGTTTCCCATAAACTTTAGCGCGCTATATACCACGTGACATACCACGTGACTATAACATTACTACACGTATCTTGCCTCCATTGGCAACATTTTCTAAACAACATCACGAATTGTTACAAACAATGGTTTGTGAAGTATTTCATTTTTTGGGGGGGACAATTAAAATTTGGGTTTTTTTATGGGAAACTTAATTAGGGGGTTTGTTTTTGGTCAATTTTTCGGGGACCGACCGACCGACCAACCAACCGACCAACCGACCCACCGACACCAAAGTGACTCGTAAAAGCTCCTGCCAGAGCTTACAAATAAGGTTTTTTTTTTTTCATTTATTTCACTTTAAAATGTATACAACTTTTAAGTCTTACAGATGAGAATTTTTTTTTATAAAATTATCTGCTTACGCATTATTTGCGTTTTGTAAATATTAAATCTATACATGTGTGCATGACAAACAATTTAAAGCTTTTACCTGTAACTAAAATTCAAGGTTAGATAAACTTCAGAGGTTTCAGAATGATGCATGCCGTACACAATATACTGCTGCTGAACTCTGAAGGCAAATTATTGCATTATCTATCAATTTATTTTGATATACCCCTTCCGGCTAAGTTTATTTATAAATCCTAAAAGCTTCTTATCACTCAAGCAGCAAATTTGTTGGTGAACTTTCAGTGTATACGTGCGCCACCCTTTGATCCACCTTTTGTTGACATTATATTTTGGTGCTCTTTGTAAAATTTCCCATCTGTTAATTTAACAATGGCATGCCTCATGCAATGATATGTACTTGGATAATATATATATATATATACAAATGTTAAGCATGATTGAAATCAAATAATTTGCATCATAAATCACTGATTTAAATCATTGTTCTACAAATCTTTATCTGGGTTTATGAAAGAATACAGGACTTTAAACCAAAAGGAAAAAAAACGAGAAAGAGCGAGAAAAAAAATCTCTTAGGCCTAAATAAGATTCAAAAGATTAATTAAGTATGCACTGGAAGAGTTTTTACATTTCAACTTTGCATTTTCTACATTTTGAAGAAATCACCCCAGCTTTTGCCTTTTGGTTATAATTCTTCTCTTTGATATATTGTAAAAATGAAAAAGGTGCATTTCAGCAGATTTCAAAAACCAGCAGATGAACACAATACTTTTAATAATTGTTCAACACTTCTTCAGATCTGTGAGACTTTGAATGATGAGTAAAGTACATGAATTGAGGAAAATAGTTCTACATACAAACCATGTACTTTGGTACATGCGATATTATACACCTTCCTGATGTACGTTAAAAAATCAAGAATTATGGAGGAAAGCCTTGATAATGCGAAACAAGACAAACTAGAGATTTTTGGGAGAATTACAGCCGGGGGCTTTGACTTAATTCACATGCATTAGCATTGTGCACGTTGGGATTTTCAATGACGTGACAAGTAAAAAATAAACTGTGACGTATGTAGTTTTACATTCCTTCTGAATTTCCCAAACTCAAGAAGATAGAGAAACAAACGTGACTTATGGAACGCGCCAAATTGGAGATTCTGGACAGAATCACTGCCGCAGGGTTATAGGACTTCACTCTGGCAGGTGATCGCATCTGAACCGATCAACGGTTGTCAGATGCACACACACCGTACATGTTTAATGCGTTGCTTAGAACTGCAGGCCTAACTAAATCCATTCATTTAAATGCAAAATTTTAGACATCGGGTGGGAACCATCGCATATATTTGAGTATAATCAATGAAACAATCTTAAAATTAACGATTCAAACTTATGAAGAGCAAATGATGAGAGATGGGAATGAAAAAAAGAAGAAGTCGTTTTGGTTTATAAACCTTACCGGTACAATCAATTATGATTAAGTCAACTAGTATCTTCTGAACTTCATATTCTGTACGTATCAATATTCTGTATGATATTATCAGTTACTGATCATGTATATAATAAAGCATAAAAATGAAAATCAGATACACATGTAAAACACCAAGAAAGGATATTTTCACATAAAACCTGTAAGTGCACTTCCAAACACTTCTAAGTTAACACAATGTACACACCTGTATTATTCACCTGTACACTATTCATGGATTACACACGTGATTTCCACAGCGACAAATGTATTACAAATGTATTACAAATGTATTACAAATGTATTACAAATGTATTACAAATGTATTACAAATGTATTACAAATGTATTACAAATGTAACTACATGTACCACGTTGTGATGTACATGTTTACATGTATGCACATGGACGTCTGTGCCTTTGTTTTAATGCAAAATTTGCATTCAATCTAACGAAGATCACTCATGGGGAACATTAAAGATATGAAATAATATTAAAGCTATCAGTTACAACGAGGATCCATCTACTATCAGCAGTTGAGGATGGCATTCAATATGCATTATCTCCCATAGGAACTCTACACTATCCGCTGATCTATCTTGTGTAAACTGGACTCCAGCTCAAATTCAATTACAGCGACATTTGATCATTAATATAGTGGGGTCACTTGAACGTGGTCAGGCCTGGGGCCAAACTAATTACTGTAGAAATCAGATGTGATGATATCCGTTTTCTAACTTAGAAAAGGGCAGTGGATGGAATTATAGCCTGGCGGGTTTTTTTTTCTAGCCTGACAGAAGTTGGGTAATTTCTAGGAAACAGAACAAAATGGTACAGACTTTCATTTCTTGTTAATATTAATCTTTAATTTAATCTTATGTCAAGATGTTCAATCTTTATGTACATTTTTAGTTTCATTACTTAAAATCAGTTGAATAGTAGCCATTTCAGATAAAAATTAAAAGGACTGAATTGAAAAACATTCATAATACTAGCTTTTCAGAACCAAGTGAACACATTCTCATACATGATTGTCCCTTGCAGTGGATTGTTTGCCAACATTTATAGAAAATTTTTGGACCACTGTGTTTGTAACTGTTGTTTCCTTCAAATTTGTCCTCTAAAAAAGCACCTCTAATGAAACACGATACATTCAAAGCATGTCAGTTTTGAACCAAAGTATATTTCTGAAAGGCGGTGTTGAAATCGAGTGCACCAGAGTCCTCACAAGGCCACTACAAGTCAGACACACTTTCGTGCTGTCCGGATTCAAGCCAAAAGCTGTTCAAACTGAGACAAATGTATTCCTTTGTAAGGGTTTATTCTCTGTACATTCGTGACTAGATTGTGCAATGGACTAGTGATTTACTGGACTTGTAAACTGACTTGTGAGCTGACTTTTGATTTACTTGTGAACTGACTTGTGACCGGACTATAAACAGACTTGTGATTAACTTGTGACTGGACTTGTGATACATACGTGCTGTATTTTCTATTACATCCATAGCCTTTTTTGAGTTGGGTGATACAAAAGAGATTACCCACTCCAAGTAATGACATCCTATATTGTGTCCGCCATTATCTCTAAAAGGCAACCTGAAGGCAGGGGCGGTGGAACCGGGGGGGGGGGGGCAGGGGGCACCCCCCCCCCCAATTTTCCAAGGCCAATAAGTGCCCCTCTCGCGGTTATAAATGTGCTTCCCGATATGAAAGCAAAACTGCCCCTCCAACGCACACGTATTGAAGCATATGATAGCGCTACAAGTAATATTGTATCCTCTCTTATACAAATCGCCCCTCAAAAACCACAAGTACCCGTCTCGCATTAACAAGATTGTGCACCTTCTCGCGATGGAAAACTACCCCTCGACACCACAAATAACCCTCTCGATATAATTGTGCCCCTTTCGAGATGGAAAATTGGCCATCAAAAACAATTGTGCTCCTCTCACGACAACTTCTCGAGATGGAAAACTGCCCCTCGAAAGCACACTAGTGCCCTGCTCGCAACATTGATTTTGCCCCCTTTCAAGACCGAAAACTGGCCTCTAAAAAATAATAGTGCTCTTCACGCGAATAAATGGTCACTTAACTGGCAATCATTAGCAACAGGGCACCTCTCGCGATAAAAAAGATGGTCTCTCTACATAACTAGGTAAAAGAAACACAAAGAGCAAGCTGGACAACGTATGCATAATTTGTTCCTCGTCATATAAGTTTATAGCGAAATGAACGGGACCATATTCTTTTCCTCCTATTTCACACCGTAGGAAGGTGCCCATTTTTCTAAGCAAGTGCCCCTTTTTGGTGTTGCCCCCAGTTTGTAAAACATTTCGCCGCCCCTGCGAAAAGGAACATTATTGAGTAATGACCCACCTTAATACAGACACAGAGTGAAAATGGGCATGTGAAGATCACGATCACCATAGAGAGAACAGTCAGGATCCATCCACAGATGCCAATGCCTCCCTCGGGCTCACCGGCTGAGAAAGTCAAATGGGAATACTCATAATTATTACCATTTAAGAGATCACAATTACACCCAAGTTGTCCCAATTTTTTTATGAAGCTTTGATTGTTTTCAATTTTAAATTGTAACAATAAACAGAAAAATCGGTCTCGATTCCTCTCAAATTAGGAGCAGCAATGCGGAAGGGTACAAAGGTCACATTCACACAGTGGCAAATAATTCAAACAGTAGCGGTAAGAGGGGGGGGCTCATTTATAGAGGGGGAGGCAATAGATGGTTTTAACAATAACATTTTAAAACTCATTTTTCAATTCCCATATGACGATCAGACGGGGCATTGGCCTCCAGAAGGGTGGTATACCATGTCCCCTCCTCCCCACACCATTACGCCACAGAATTCAAACTGCTATTTCTAGAAACAGATGACTCTAAATGTGTAAAATATCCAAACTTGACAATTGAATGCCTTTTTTGACAGTTCTAAACCACTTAAAATAATCAATAGTTTCATAAATTGTGGCAAATAATAGCTTCGCTTATGAAGCAGACATATCAGCACAATTGTTGTTGTTCAGCGTTGTATTCTCCATGCTTTAGAACTTTTTGCCATTCACTTTCGTGAAATGAAATGTTAATGCAATGACATGTAGCCGCCATGCAGGTCCATATTGATTAAATGTCAAAAGAACCAAGCTATAAACATGTACATCACCCATAATGCGTACACTGTGCACCGCAATAGAGCATGAGCTTATTGTTCAATGATCACTGTAAAAAAAATACATCATAGCCCTAAATGTCGGTATGGCAAATTTTTATGGAATTGATGAAGAACGCAATGTTAAATGTAACTTTGTTTGTGAAGAGCAACACAGTTATTAATTGTTGGTAGTTTCAAAAAACAATCTTTATAATTTTCTCCCAGTCCCATTTTTTAGGAGTATGGAATTTTGTTTTGTAATCGAAACAATGAAGTACATAAATGCCTCTTGATTGATGATTTAAAGCAACAGTTTCTTACATTTTATTTTAAATAATCCACAATTTCTCTCAGTTAATTTCTTTTTAATATAGCAGCAATGTGGCAAATTTTTATTAAGGGTATGACACTTTTTTTTTATAAGGGATGATGGCAAATTGTTTAATAGGGTATGGCAATTATTCATTAGGGTATGACAAATTTTTTACTAGGGTATGCCAAATTGTTCATTAGGGTAAGCTAAATTTTACATCAGGGTATGGCAAATACCTAATAGAAATGATAGAGTACTCAATGTCACATCATTTGGCAGCATAATACTTCATTGTAACGACTAAGTGACTGACATGATCAAGGTTTGAATGGTGAAAAAAATATTGACAAGAAACTGCTTGTTGCTCACTGTACTATAATAGACCTTAGGCGTTGCATGTATCTCAGAAGGAGTGTTCTTTGTTATTTTAATTTTAGAAATAATTAATGAATGCACTAATGGTTTCACTCATGCATATCCAAGCAAAACAAAGCTATTGCCTTCTAACTCCGCCTTAAGGCACAAGGTCCATTCGTTTTTGTATTTACATTTCACAACACGCACGTACCGACCGTTAACACATAGACCTACCTCCAATGACTTCAGCCCGATGATCAGGAACCGTGGAGTAACCTCCATCATATCCTGTCGTCTTAGAGGGTTTTCGGTTGTTCGAATCCATCAGTTCCACGTTTTCCGGGGGTTCCGGAGTGACCCGATTCGACATGAAGCGATCCACGACCAGTGATGCCCTAACCGCTCACTTACAATGTGCTGTAAACACGAGATCTATTTTTGCCGCATAACCACGGTACACTACTCCATGATTACGGATGCTAATTTATTACAATCTGCCGCATCCAGACCGGCCGCCGCCGTACACACAACAGAGAACCGACCGTGCCATCTTAATCTGGGAGTCGTGGCCTCCCGCATCGTCGATGCATACATGAGCGCAGTGCCAGTGGGTGTACGTGTAGAGTAAGCTGTTTTTGAGGTGCTCCTGCGTAGCGCCACCAATGTACATTGATAGGATGAAGAACAAGTATCAACTTTTACTTATAGTTACGTTGTCTGAATTGGAGGATTTTTTGTTTTTCCTAGGATACATACATGTAATAACTTGATAAAAGCACAATTTTGCACGGTGATTAGCAGATATGCCAGCTCTTATACTAATTGGAAAATCGACAATTCGACCATGCAATTGAATAGAGTCGTGATTCTGGAGACACAGTACAATTATTGGAATATAATTTATTGGAATAAATTGGAATATAATTTAAAAACATATATTTCCTAAATGAATTTTCTTTTACTGTTTTCCATGTAGGGCTGCAATAAAAAATCGGATTTAAAACAACATTAGATCACATTGTTTGTATCTTAATCGCTTTGTTTTTATTAAAAAAAAAAAAAATTGTACGAGCTATCAAAAGGGGATTGTCCATCAAATTTGACGCAAATTAAGTAATTCCATTGTAGTTCCGTACACATGTGGTAAACTGTACGTTTTCATTTTTCGAGATAACATTATGTGCTCTTAAAATAAGTGAAATTTACCACTTCACAATATTTGAAAGATTTCATATGTTAATGAAGTCATGGAACACTGAACATGGAAGCCAAGTGTGTCATCTGTTAAGCTGATGTGACCTTTGCATGTTACTTTGTAAATGCATGGACCGGAGACAGGAGAGCACACTGGTTTTAATGAAGACAACATCAGTGTATTAATATTGAGGCTAAATTATTTATAAACTCTTAGTCATTGTTAAACTGACTTGTTTCACGTTTTGGGCTTGTAGATGATGGAAAAACCAAGAAAACCAATCATGTTCTTGTAGTCTGGTTCCCTGATCCCACATAAGATTAAACGGAGCAATTTATAAACTGGGGGAATTGTTAGGTCAGAGAATCAGTCTAGCAGGCTTGAACCATTGCACAGGTGTGTAAACAATTGCAAAGTAAATGCGGAATAACTAAATATGGAAAATTAGGAGCAGTTTTTGAAAAAAAGATCAGTTTTTTTCCAACGCTGGTCGGTCGACCAGCGTTGGAAAAATACAAGTTTTCTTGAAAATGTCAGCTCACCAGGAGCCACGATTTTAATGGATGCTTTGGACTGTCATTCCCTAACAATCAAGTGAGATATTTCGTGATAATTTGATCATTTCTTTTTTTGATGTTTGCAAATGTTGTATTTTCCCTTTAACATAACACACACGTCCAACGTCCAAATTGACCATTGTATGAAAGGGTTCGGCGCAGAGAATTGATGCGAAGCGTCGTTTTTTTCCCCGGATCCAGAACCATGTAACTTGTATCATCGTTTCGTAGCTATCACTTCATAGGGGTGGGGGCTAAGAGTGATGCCTGCAACTCCGTCCAGAGAGGGGCGTGGTTTGCCGGTAGGCAAGGAGAAGGTGAATCGCTGGAGGAGGTTGACAAAGAAGAGGAACATCTCCATCTTAGCCAGGGTCTCTCCCATGCAAATACGCCGACCTGGGACGAGAGACACAAATTAGACTTTAAATCGGGGAATCTGGGACATGTGGATAGGGAATGGGAAAGTGTACTTTCTAGTAGTTTCTAATTGATTCTAAAGAATTGGAAACTCCAAGTAGCTTTCTAATTAATTCATCATGGCAATAAACCGATAAACTATCATGCAGGACAAGCTCTATAGCCTTTTAATAAGGCCATGGCGACTCGGGCCCTTCATTAATTGACTGAGCAGCATACCACGACGCGAGTTGAGCGGAGACGAACGCCGAGTCACGAGGCCTTTTGTACTTGGACAGAATTGTATTGTTATTCTTCGTCACTTGGCCTACACTGTGTAGTCCCCACTCGGTGAGCATCATGGTTTTGTCGAAATCCAAATCTCAATAGCCTTGTAAAAAGGCACGATATCTCCTAGACCTACGACCAGTGATCCTTCACAAGCCCATGGTGCATGTGGTCTTGTCGCATGCAAATACGAACCATTCCGACACAGGCCTATATATACGGAACAGGAAAATTCAAGAACACACCAAGACCAAAGGGTATGAGAGCCTCCGGTCTCTCTACCGTCTTGCCGCCTTGAGACAGGAATCTGGAGGGGTTGAACTTCTCGGGGTCTTTCCAGCATGTTGGATCTTGGTGAATGGCCCAGATGTTGACGTAAACAACTGCGTGGATTCAATTAAAACGCATTTTACAACAAACCTCATGAAATGTTATTATCATGTGGCCAAATGATTCTGTCCACAACATTTCTTTGAAATCGACGGAGTTGTAGGGGCGGGGAGGGCATAGATGTCAAGATGCGTTCATCGGTCTTTTCCCCCTTACCGTTTGTGCTGTATTATTGTAACGCAAACTATACGAATATTTGAGCAAGTTTCACTGTTAGTATATGCTAAATTGTGAAAATTGTCTGCAGGGGATCTGTTGTATACTTACATCGGGGAACATATACATACAGCGCCCTGTATAACGTCGATCTCATATCCCCCCCCCCTTAATATTACAAAGGCACTTTTGCGTACTTGTTTTTGCCGGAAGAGTGAATCCCAGTAACCTGGTCTCGTTGACCGTCTCGTGGGGCAGTGCGTTTGGTGCTACTGGACGCACGCGTAAGGTTTCCAGCAATACGGCATTCGTGTACGGCATCTGATTCCGGTCTTCAAATGTGGGCTGCCGGTCTGAGCCGATGACGTCATCTATTTCCTTTTGTACCTGAAATCAAGAGATTGGACTTATTTTTGGCGAACGACTTGTGGACGCGTCGTCATCCAAGGCCATTTTGGATGATGCATATAATTATGAATGGGACACAAAATACTGTTCACAAAACTGGTCTCAGATGATATCCACGAATGGACCCGGCGCATGAGCAGGTGCTTCTTCGCCACTCACGCGAGAATTGGATTGGCCACACCTGCAATTCGTTCAAGAGTTCCTCAAAGTGGTCGCTTCCAACTGTATCTTTGTAACCTTCGATGTGTTACATGTGCCAGGAGCCCATGAGCTATTAATCCTGATAACATGCATGATAAAACGCACTAAGAGTAAGATACCTCGTTCAATACAAGTACTCAAGGCTGAGAGGCAGTATAGATTGGTAGTATATACACTGTTACTTCGGTTGTGTACTATATGAACCTAGCAACCAGTTGTGTAAAAAAAATTTACAAGTTGTGTAATATTTTACACAAGTTGTGTAAACAAAAGTTTACACAACGGGTGCTAGGTTCATATAGTACACAACCGTTTGACTTTTACACAACCGAAATAACAGTGTAGACACAGCAGATTGTAAGCCCTCATGTTAGACATTCACAACATAACCAGCGACTTACCGCTTTCTGCACATCAGGATGTACAGCCATGTAGATCAGTAGCCACATGAGGGTGTTAGTGGTGGTATCTGTGCCGGCAAGGAATAGGTCATAGATTCCCCTCCAAATAGTCTCTTGGCTCAGGACAGGCTCACAATCACCTTCTCCCCCGGTCTTATCACCTGCTTCCCCGGTCTTTTCCACTTGTTGGATTTCGAGAAGACACATGTCGATGATATCACGGATGTCATTGGGATCGAACGATTCTTTATGCTCCTGTAATATACCAAAAGAAAAAACCCAGTGTGTCAAAAGAGTGACATGGATTTTCTGCACAGTTATATTTACTCTCACATATTTAGATATTACTGATTCAATAATGGATTAATCCCATAGGGGGTACGCAAATTCATAGTAAAATTGGAGGATTCATGACTGTTAGGGCTATCGGGTTTAAGGTCCTTTTGGCCGGCAAAGATTGAAAATTGTTTCGTAAAGCCAATGTTTGTGTTGCGAAGCAATGCAGGACAGTTTGAATTCTCAATTTGAACAGTTTGAACTCTGAATGTGAACAGGTTGAACTCTGAATGTGAACAGTTTGAACTCTCAGTTTAAACAGTTTGAACTTTTATTTTGAACAGTTTTAACTCTACATTTAAACAGTTTGAACTCTCCATTTGAACAATTTGAACCTTCAATTTGAACAGTTTAAACTCTGCATTTGAGCAGTTTGAACTCTCAATTTGACTTTCATTTTGATCAGTTTGAACTCTACATTTGAACAGTTTGAACTCTCCATTTGAACAGTATGAACTCTCAAATTGTGAAACAGCAAAGTCCTCAAGAGTGCAAAGAAATATCGATGTGCGTCTCCCTACCTTCACAACCTCCTTGATGAAAACAGCGATCGCCTGTAATCGATCTCGGTTTTCTCTGTACAGTGGGGTGTAGAACAGGAAGGGGAAGAGATTGCCAAGCATGGCGAAAGACGAGCCGGACAAGTTGAGCTTGACGAGTTTGATGAGACGGGCAAACTTAGGGTCTGAGTACTCAAAGCGGTAGCCGAAGCTGATCATGCAGATAATGTTGGAGACCGCGTTCAGGATGGCGTGCTCGGGGTCGAAAGGCTTCTCCCCTTCGCCGTCAAAACACTCGAGGAGATGGCGAGCCTCTTCTGTGATTTTGTGCTCCACGCTTCTCTTGCCCATGCCCAGAGTTCGCATGGCGCTCAGCCCAAAGCGTCGCCGCTCCTTCCAGACTTCGCCGTTTGATAGGATGAAGCTACCTGATTGAAACAAAAACTCATGTGGTCATATGAACTTGAGCAAAATTGTACAACCCGAAATGGCAAAGCAATTGTGCATTAGCCCTTGTAGTTTAGTTTTAACGTTCAAGACACGTATCCTTTATACGATATTCTCAAAAGGCCAAAGATGGCAGCCCTCAGTAACACAGACTTTTCGCACCAAATTAAATTTAAAAATCTCCTTATGCGGTCAGTTTGTCAATTGTTTTGCTTTATATGCATTAATTGTTTTACACCGATCTGGCCCTTGCTGATGTTCGATGTGATCCGCTTTACGAAATGCATTGCCTTTATAAACCATTTTTTTTTCACTGCTATTGCTTCCAGCTTTGTAGTCAAGTATATTATGTGTCCGGTCGTAACAAAAGTACTTCACAAGTCCTTTCACAAGTCTAGTCACAAGTAACGAAAGGTGAACAATTGCAAAATAATGTCTCATTTGAAGACCCTGAGACTTGACTTTCATGAACTGATATGACTTGAGACTTAAGATGCACTCGACTGTACAAGGCTGATCGCTTCTTGCCTTTAACCGACAAAGAGATCCTGGCCCTCGGTGTGACATATCTCTTCGAGAACGAATCAGCCTGTTTGGTGAGTGCTTCTTTGACGGCTTCGATGTCGTTCAGAACCACCGCAAGCCGTGGACCCATCCAGACGCTCATGATCCTCCCGTACTGTCTGGCCCAGTCGGTCATCACCAGATGCATGGCTCCCTTCTGCAGACCACGGGTGTTACCGATAATCGGCCATGCTGGTGGACCGGGCGGCAGGTTCCTCGGACGACGGATCCAGGCGATGGTGAGCAAGAGAACAACGACAAACAGAACCACAGTCTGCACGTTGAAGCTGCTTGCACCTTCTAGCAATTTTGGCAAGACCATGCCGACCCACACTCAAGTTGTCTACACCACTTGAACGCCTAAGTTAAGTTGATAAAAAAAAGACTAGACGAATCAACGTTCGTTTAAATGATCATAATTTATATGCAGTAGTGTATTAAGTAGATGTAATAAACTGCTGCACTAAACGATCGATAACGATTGTGACTGAGTAAACACAATTTCATATGTTTGAAGGAAGTATATATAAAACGTATGGCTGTTTGACAAAGTCCTTACAGAAAGGTACAATGTGCATTGGATCAAAGCCAGAAGGCCACTTAATCATATGGACACAGACGTTAAGTCAACCAATAGATATAAAAGGTGACTGCCTTATTAACTCGATTAAACAATTCGGGTGGGCAGTGCACTATTTCAAGTGAGAATTTCTACGCGAGCTCATTAGCATTAAAAGTACCCCCCCCCCCCACACACACACACTTCGTTTGAAGACAGTTTGGCTTATCTGAGTGCAGGCTCGATAACATTACGGTTGAAAAGTGGGTCCTGTTTGCCTGAGAAACTGCGGAAGGATGCCACTTGTGAATGGTTACATGCAGGCTTTGGAACTATCACTTTTCAATGGGGCTTGAATTAGTTCAGTGAGTGCACCCACGAGTGCACTCTCAGGCGTTTTACAATGCAGTGCGCCTCCAAGACTTTGCCTCAAAGAGTTTATTTTTCCCAGTGCATCGTGGGAGATGGTGGACAAATTGGCAGTGAGGGACATTTGAAATAATTGTTAGTTTTCCAGTCAGTAGTTTCGCAATCATATGATTCTAGCGTACAGTTTGTCTTGGGCCATTTCCTTTTCTTTGTATCAATATTGTGGGGTTTTTTTGTAAGGCGGCAGAACGCAATGTCTCAATCTATAGCAAAATAGCTCAATTTGTTTACTAGACACTCATTGAAATGGGCCATGTTATGTCGACCGTAAACTTGAAAAAAAAATGGCTCTCCTTGGCAAACTCTTGGTGGCGCACTGCATTGTGAACCGCCAGAATTACATCCGATCAGTGTTTGTGTTGTCTAATGTCTAATATTGCAAAAAAAAGTAGGAGTCGGGAACCACTCTCTCAATTGGATCATCTGATTGGTGGGTCATTGATCACGTGTCGTTGAATTATTGGTCCCAACCCACGGCGCGGCCGCACGGCTATTCCACGGTAAATAAAAGTTCGCCATACTTTTTGCGGCTCTTACCAATCAGATGGCGACGATTCATTCAGGCGTCGTGTAAAACAAATATATTTTACATTCGTGCAATGAAAAGAATAATTTCATTCGGTGACGATTGAATGTTCCATTATAAACAGCTTCACCTCGTGCAATGGAGCATTACCTCATGAAATTATTCTTACCATTGCACTCACAAACATTATTAATTTTGTAGAATATCCACCCGCAGAAAAAGGAAGTCAACACACTATTATTACAGTGCCATACAAAGTAAGATATTAACATAAATAAAACGGCTACAACCCCCCCCCCCCCCACAAAAGTGATATATACCTCTCCCCTTCCTTCTCTCCACTCCCCCCCCCCCCAGCGCGTTTTTTTTTTAGAGGAGGGGTTGAAACTTGAAAGTAAAAGCGTAAAATTGAAAGCCCATTTAAAACCTCGTCTAACCATCACCCATATTAAAAAATATATATTCATGCCCTAAAAACAGATGAACAACCTTTGAAACTAATTGCATAGTAGTGTTGGCGGCTAAAATTATATTGTCGGACGTTTGTGTCTGTTTGTCTGTTACAGGGTTTGCATGTAGCACATGAAGAATGGTTCAACACGTACGGATAAACGTACGGGTAGTGTTTTTTTGTCACCGTTGCCTGTGCCTATCGTTGAAAATGTGCCTTATCAGTGATTGATTTATTTGTCTTGCTTAACTTCTAAACCTTGTACCAATATACGGGCAATCGTGTGCTTCAGTATACTTTTTATGACAAATTACATATTTGCATACACTTTACGAACTCGTTTTACAGTATTACGGGAGGTTAAACATGATAAGGGAGCATATTACGGTGAACGAACTTAATATGCCCAATTATGCAAACACAAAACAAAGTTACTGCTGGAGGCCACATTTTGAAACTCTCGGATATGTGCGTATTTCACAGAGAACGCGCCAGAGGATGACTCGCCCCGACACTGCTAAAGCCGACTTCAGGTCGACCCACGATTTTCTTGCGCCACGAACGGAACCGTCGGCATCAAGCAGAAAATTAATGTTCAGGTCTCAAAACTGAGAAATCGTTTGATTCTCTTGAAACAAGCGGCATCCCGACGCGAAATAATCGCAAGTATGCTCATGTCAACCACGACGCGACTATTCACCACGATTTCACAGCATAGATATTATTATTTTATTATTACTGGTTTATTAAAATCTGTTCATTGCAGCCAAAAGGCTGAATTGTGACACAGATGAACATTAAAAATAAAAATTACATAAAGTATTTATACAATTAAGGCATTAAAATTAAGTGTTAAAGATAAAACCAATAAACCAACCAACAGTAAGAGAGAGATGTAAAAAGAACATTACACATAAAAACAGAACAAGACAAACTTAGCAAAAAAAAAAAAAAAAAACAAGCCAAACTAGTTTACACACAAGGAACAAAAAAACATGCACAAATGTAATCAAGGAACAAAAACACACACCCAAAAAAGAAGAACAAAAACCATACAATACAAACAAAAGATAAACAAACAAACAAACAAACGAACAAATACCCCAACAAACACACAGAACAAGCCAAAACAAAAAAACACCCCAACCAACCAAACAAACACAAAACAAAAAACAAAACCAAAGAGGCAAGAGAGAATCAGTAAAATCACACAACCAGGCATAAAAAGGGTTTTAAAAAAACAGGGGCTAGTGAGCAGAACGTTTACGAAAACAGAAAGAGAGGGGCCTACCTTTACATGTTCAAAATGTTGGTCGGGTATTAAGGAATCGGGCTAGTTTTGTATCGGTTGGTTCTGCACCTGATAGTAGTCAAAGAGTCCGAATTCCTAAGGTTATTATTCCTAGATGGACGCAACTAGTCCCTATGCTCGGTTGAAGACAATAGCCTAATACCAAAGTTCAGAGAAAGCTGTTCAAGTCTCTCAATGAGGGGCGGAATGTTAAGAATCTCACAAATATTTGAGTACGGTTTAAAATTACAAAAATCACAAGTAAGAATAATTTTAAATGCCTTCCATTGCATTTTCTCGAGGCACTCTCTCTGGGATTTAGTGAGACCACAAAACCAGGCTGGTAAGGCGTATTCAAAAATTGGTCTAACATATTGCAAGTACACAGTTCTCAGGTCGTTAACAGGAATGTTACATTGTTTAAGTTGACGTAAAAGTATAGTTTTTTGTTAAATGCTTTACACATTTGATCAACCTGAGTATCCCATTTAAGGTTTTCTTGCACATGAATGCCCAAAAGTTTAACACAGTTTGTTTGATTGATGACATTATTACCAATGTGAAAACTAGGCACAACAGGTTGGTGTCTTTGAAAGCAAGAAATCATGACCTGACATTTTTGGGGATTAAGTCTCATGTGCTTTTTTAATGACCAGGAATTCTTGTTGAAGGCACGCCATCCATCTTGCAGAGTCATTAATTTGGTGGCAATATTTATCGGGCTTAGCTGCAGGCCAGCCACGCCGGGTTCAGCACCTAAACCAGCCAACCTGTCCAATTATATACAAGGGTTTGTTTGAAAAGATTGAAGCTTTTTTAAACAAATATACCATTTTTTTCTCAAATTTGCTAAGTTTTTCTGTAAAATAAACCATTTTGCAGAATTCTGCCGGAAATCTGTCAAAAAGAAAGTCAAATTTCTGTCAAACTCGTTTTTTTAACAAAAATTCTGTCAAAGTTAGCCGAAAATCGGCTAAAACGGTCACAATGGTTGTGTGTCCCTTGCTCCGTGGTGTGTATGTGTTTGAAAGTACCTTCCATGCACACACAGAGCACAGTGTAGCCTGTGAAATTCGAGGTGACGTTTGACCCAGTGACCCCTGGCAAGTGTTCAGGTGAACCTTGAACGTTATGAAGTTCAATGCCGTACCAGTTTGTTCCGGATTGGTTTTTTTTGCTGGGTTCGGTTGTATGAGCCCGTTTACAACAGACTTCCTTCACTCAGAAACGCTGTGGCAAATTGGGGCTCTTTTCAAACGCGAGGTTTGCACTTGAAGCTTTAAGTATAGTGTCTCTCTCGATCATTGTAAACACGCATCATGGTGCTGAAGGAATTGATCGCTGCTGCAAGCAACTTCAACGTGCAGACTGTGGTGTTGTTTGTCGTTGTTCTCTTGCTCACCATCGCCTGGATCCGTCGTCCGAGGAACCTGCCGCCGGGTCCACCAGCATGGCCGATCATCGGTAACGCCCGTGGTCTGCAGAGGGGAGCCTTGCATCTGGTGATGACTGACTGGGCCAGACAGTACGGGAGGATCATGAGCATCTGGATGGGCCCAAAGCTAGCAGTGGTTCTGAGTGACATCCAAGCCGTCAAAGAAGCCCTAGTCAAGCAGGCAGACTGCTTCTCTGACCGGATTGAACCACCCAAGTTGTTTGGAGAGGGGATGTCGTTAAAAGGTAAATGGATGAAAAAAAAGTCCTTCTTGGCACTGTTAGAATTAATCCATGATAGAATCAATGCCTTCCTCTTTGAATTGATCTCTCGTCAGTAACAGTTCCCACTACCAGTAATATCTCGTTATGCTGCTGATTTTAGTATGCCGCTGGTATAGTAATTGACGCCATGCATTGATGTGTCGCCAATTACATCTTTTATTTGGTTGAAACTGCTTTTAAGTTTTCATTTGCCCAATATTTGTTTCGGCCCTGTTAGCTGAAAAAGTTTTCATTTGCACAATATTTGTTTCGGCCCTAGTTCCGCGCACCTTTCTTTTCAAGTGCATTATTTTGTTCTTCAGGCAGTGTCATCATGTCCAACGGCGAAGTCTGGAAGGAGCGGCGGCGCTTTGGGCTGAGCGCCATGCGAACCCTGGGCATGGGCAAAAGAAGCGTGGAGCACAAAATCACAGAAGAGGCGCGCTATCTCCTCGAGTGTTTTGACGGCGAAGGAGAGAAGCCCTTTGACCCTGAGCACGCCATCCTGAACGCGGTCTCCAACATCATCTGCCTGATCAGCTTCGGCTACCGCTTCGAGTACTCCGACCCCAAATTCGCCCGTCTCATCAAACTCGTCAAGATTAGACTTTCGACCGTGTCTTTGAACGTGCTGGGTATCTTCCGAGCGTATTTTAACAGGTCCAAGCACACCGGCTTACTTCAGGGGCAAAAAGAGATCCGTAATTTCATCCAAGAAATTGTACAAGTACGTTTTTAATGAAATCTGTACGTGAACAGTAAATGGTGCTTGATGATTTATTTCGAGGACAATGCGTGAACGAAGAGACCCTCCCATTCCCAGTGGTCTCCTGCAACTTTAGCTTTGCAAACGTTGAGGGGGTACTTCAGGCACGAAACGAGCAAGAAATTAGACTGGAGGGTGAAGGGTCAAATAATGACACACATAAAGCTTCATTTTGACTTTGAGTTTGTTTTATCTACAGGAACATGAAGAGTCATTCGACCCAAATGACCTCCGTGACATCATCGACATGTACCTGGTGGAAATCGAGCAACAGGAAAAGAACGGGAAAACAGGTGAAGATACCGCATTTTGCAGGACGACACTGTGGAGGAGTATTCAAGACTTTTTCGTAGCTGGGACCGATACCACCACCAACACTCTGTTGTGGCTGATGCTGTACATGGCTATGTACCCGGAGGTTCAAAACAAGGTACGGTCCTCGGATGGACGGCAAACACTTCTAGGCATATTGAGGATGTGCTTTTCGTTGCTGAAAGTCATAGGGTTGCAGACCAGTAAATAAAGTGCCATAGACCCCAGTGATAAATACCCCACTCCAAAAAATCAGGAAAAATACACCCAACTCTCCAAGGTGTTTAAGGCATACATCAAATTAAAGTTTTGTTCTTTTTTTTGGGGGGGGGGGATAATTAGATGACTTTTGGGAGAAGTCTCCATCCAAAGATGTCCTGAAGGCCATCGCAATTTTTTTGAAAAAGGATGCCTATGCTCCATTTCAAAATAGAGCAATTTAAGTGCCACTTCATCCAACATAAATACAAGCTCGCAGTGCTTTTTCATAAACCATCAAGTTCATGGTCCACAAAATGTTCTAATGGCAGAGAATTTATTGGCATGCAAATCGTGATTTGGCCGGCGTAGGCAATTTTGGGCCTATTTACTGGCCTGTGGCCTTAGGATGTATGAGTTTGAAGACAGCATGACCTATCTCCATCTCTTTTGAAATGTTACCTTAGTTATTGATGGCAAAACAATCTGTCTTTGAGTTAGGTCAAGCAGGCGTCTTTGGTTTTTGTGATAAATAGCCTAACTCTCAGTTCACCACATAAGACAACACTCATGTCCTCGATATCAATCCAAGTCTGAACTTCCTGTATAACAATCTTATAATCAGTCAAGGAATCGATGCCGTTTGTTTGATTTCAGGTGCAGAAAGAAATCGATGACGTCATCGGAAGCGACAGACAGCCAATTGGCGAGGACAGTAACGCCATGCCGTACACCAACGCCGTACTGATGGAGATGCAGCGACACCGACCCGTCACTCCTAGTGCTGTGCCACATCAGACACGTTACCAGACTGAGTTGTGTGGTTATACCATTCCTGCTAAAACAGGTTCGATATTCTACTGATGCAAGATCCATGGTCGTGGGGTCTTAACCTTGTCCCCAGGTTGTCGAGCAGTACGCGCCCACCAGTACCCATTCTCTCACCCTGGTATTGAATTATTTGCTTGTGCCGAAGTTTGGAACAAGTATGCAAATGAGGAATAGTCGGGTGCCTGCATGTGCGTTACATAAGCGTTTGTTTTTGTATGCAGTGTCTGGGGTAAAAACAACATCAATTCGTCACACCGCGAGGTACGAAAACACGACAGTTTTTGAAGTCAAACTTTAACAATCTTTTCCCGCCAATATGCACTATCACATTTGATATTAATATGAGCAAATTGGAAAGGAAATGAGTCGTGGACGTTATTAAAGTTATTACAATGTCGTGAAAACACGTAATGCACGTTGGAAATAACAACACCAAGTACACGATATAAATCCATTACTAGCCGATTGCGGTATCAAATCAGGATACAGGAAGAAAGTTTCGTGTTCAGGGTTTACAATTGGAAACGAAATTGGAAATAAAGTAAGCGCTGGGGACAAGGTTGCTGGTGGCGTCTTACTTTGAGATATGCTGAAAACAATAGAAGGGTGCTATTTGGTCCTGGTCATTTTTTGGTAATAGCTGGCGGCATCCATGCTAGATCAATTCTTTGAACCATAACAAACAAGATGTGGGTGGATGCCATCGTTAATTTGGACCCTAAATATACCTTATTTGCTTAAATTGTTAGTCCCTGCTTCGTAATATACTTATTCCCATATTTGGGTATATTCTTTATTTTTTATTTTTTGACAAGTTTATATAAGTGATTCTACTAACACACCCTTACTTATATAACAATTTCTTCAGCATATAAGTGACTGAATAATTATGAGGACATAGAAACGATCCAAAATGGCTACTATTATACCCAAAAATTTACCTTGTCTCCAGATATCATCAAGAAGTCTTGCCAAACCTCAGTATTGATGAACATTAAATTCATCAAGTTGCTTATTTGCACAGTTGCCCTATTAAAACTTTGTGGAAAAATCATGCGAACAATGATACCATTATGATATTTAGCTCAGCAAACAAAAACAGGAAACCGAGCTGGTTGTCCGTAAACTGGGCTTAAATTAGGGGAAGGGTCGCTTAACGTGGGAGACGTGAATAAGCTCAAGGAACCCCCCCCCCCCCAAAAAAAATCTTCCAGTAATTATGTCAATGTCAGTATGGTCTTTCAAATAATTTTGGGAATTTCCTTAACCTTTTCAAGTCTCCCACGTTAGGCAACCCTTCACTAATTGGGCCAATTAACGGACACCTCGTTTTACCCATTTCTGTTTGCTGGGCTAAATATCACAACGTTATCATTGTTCGCATGCTTTTCAATAAGGTTTAAATACTGTGCCAGTAAGCAACTTGGTGAATTTGAAGCTCATATACTGATGTTTGGCAAGACTACATGAAGATATCTGGAGACAAGGTACATGTAAATGCGCGAAAGAGTAGCCATTTTGGATCGTTACTATGTCCTCATAATAATATTCAGTCACTTATATGCTTTAGAAAATGTTATTGAAGTAAGGATGTGTAAGTAGAACTACCAAAATGAAACTTTCAAAAGTAAAAAAATTAAAAATATACCCAAATGTGGGGAACAGATATATTACACGGCAGGGATTAATGATTTATGCAAATTAGGTATATTTAGGGTCCAAATTAACGATGGCATCCACCTACATCTTGTTTGTTATGGTTCAAAGAATTGATCTAGCAGGGATGCCAGCTGTTACCCAGAAATGCCGTGAAATTATTATCTAGAGAACTTTTCCACATTTGGCTGGCCTACTATTACAAGTAAGAGCTTATCAAAGCCAAATGGTGCCCTCCTAGATGGTGTGCACGACCTGCGACACAGGGTATCCCAAAGTGTCCCTATACCTACAATCTAGAATATTGTTACCTAACACATCCCCCTAGATATCTCAAAATTATTCCTGAGATTCTGCGAACACAATGATGAACACAAAAGAACGGGGTCCCGTAGCGTAACTTGCTTCAAATGGGCATACATGTCTACCATACTGTTTCTCAAAAAAAAATCCACCAATCGACCCTCGTTAATACAAACACTGTTAATACGAATCTGGTTATAGCAAACATAAAGCCTTGATCCCGACTGTGCATTTTTGTGCAGAATGAATGGGACAGGCACTCCACTTAGTACACAATTCTGATATAACAATCATTTTGGCTAGGTCTGGCTGAGTTTGTATTATGGTATCACAAGGTCAAGTTAGTCTTTTGAAAAGTCTACTGTGACTTTGGAATTCAAACCGAGCGGCGAAGCCGCAAGGCGAGTTGAGTGGAGACTAAACAGTGCAGGCGAAGTGATTTGTTACGATCGCCTTTTGCCCTGCATCGAAGCAATACAAAGAATGCACTAAATAACGTATCTGGACGCCCAGGCCAAATAATCCGGGGCAGCGAATTAGTTTTGCCCAAACAACATCGTACGGATGGTTGCTGAGCACCCTCTACGATACTTATATTATACGTACGCAGGTATATAATGCCATTATAATGATTTACGATTTGCTGTGGAGCTCTCCGATGGCTCATTTGGATAATGCCATGGTTTTGAGATCGGAGAGTGTGAGTTCGAAACCACATTTTCCCTTTTTTTTTTCTTTTGTAATTTGCGGCTTTGGATGATTTTTTTAAGGCAAATTAAGTCCGAGTTTCGTTAGGCTCGAATTCATTTCTTTCTCTTTCTTTCATATATTTTTTTTCTCATGTTTGTAGGAAAGGGGTAGGGTTGGGTTAGGGTTAATCCAAAATCTCATAGCGTACTCCCCATTGGCTTATGTCGTTTGGGAAAACAAATTCTCACCCGGGCAGGGGATATTTTTTTATTTCTTAAATAATTGTGTTGAATTGTAGCAAAGGTTGGCATATGACAAAATCAGAGGGTCAAAAATGTCACTTTTTTTACCCCTATTTAATTATCACATATAGCTGTCTTCGTGAATTTGTGGGCCATTCTACGCGATCCGAAATGCTGGACAGACCCGGAGAAGTTCGACCCCGCCAGGTTCCTGTCCAAAGACGGCAAGACGGTCGAGAGACCGGAGGCTTTCATCCCATTCAGTTTTGGTATGTCAAAATAAACATCTGTAATTTTACCCAAACACTGGAGAATTAGACTGATGGAACAGCCCGATATTTTGAATGTTACATGTGTATTATAAGTAGCTCGTTTTGAAAAAACAGCGTACGAGGAAAACGACGCCTGCCCTTTTACGATCATTGTGATTTTACCGATAACACATCAGCCTTCATCCCGCTTTTGGAGGCCTTTTCTGGTTGACATTAAAAACCGAATTTTCTGTGTAAATGCGACGACGATAGTTACCCCTAAATTTTTAACTCCTTATTTCGTGGTCACGAACGCTTAAATAATGTGATTATTTAAAGAACAGGCCTGTCGAGCATACTTATGTTTGCACAAACTCCTCGGGCGCTGTCCGGTTTTTTAAACGGTCTCTGTTTCTTTATTCCTCATCCCCCCGTCCCAGGTCGGCGTATTTGCATGGGAGAGACCCTGGCTAAGATGGAGATGTTCCTCTTCTTTGTCAACCTCCTCCAGCGATTCACCTTCTCCTTGCCTGCCGGGAAACCACGCCCCTCTCTGGAGGGAATCACCGGGGTGACCCTTGCTCCACAGCCCTTTGAGATTGTTGCTAAGAAGCGATGAATTTTTCGTTAGCAGTTGAGCACAAAATGTGTTTGTAAACTTTAATTTGCCATTTATGATACAATATATAATTGCGTAATGAAAATAGCCCCTCAGCAATAACTTCCTCCCCGCCTTCTAATTTGGTCTAACCCGCCCCCTCATATCTACCACATCCCCCAGCTGAGTGTGTATCAGTCCAGTGTGCGTCAGGCAGTTATATAATTGCGTTTGAATAGCCCCACGTGTATGGAATTTGAAATATCCACGTGCGATTTAGTCGGCTGGGTGCTGTGATAGGGTTACGTTGTCTGTGGAGGGCTGTACAGTTTTGAGTGTGAACAGAGAAAGCTTGCCGTAATAACCAAGTAAGTTGTAGTGCAGGACACAGATAGTCTAATCTCCAATGGAGTTGGAGTCGGGTTATGGTACATTACCGTAAGCTATGCCCAGGCTCCCTGTGACCCATGCAGTGCGGATCTAAAGCCCTCTTTCGGAAAATCAGGCAGACAAAAAAAGGTAAATGTCTGTTAACATCCCCGCCCCCGGCAGCTGAACTCCCTCTTGATCCAAACCTGGATCCACTCCCGTGGTCATCAACGAGCCACTTTCTTATACTATTGTATGTCTTGCTTATACTTTTGCAACAAATTCCTTTGTAAGTTGCTTTAATTGCCTTAAATCGTGTGACCGTACGTTGGTCCTAGATTTAGGACTAAGGATTTAGAAGTAGACGGGTCTGCATTTCTAAATAAAGTAATTCACATTAAGCCTTTAAAATTCGTTCTGTCTCGCTGCGGCCCCTGACCAATCTACAACATAATACTATTATTAATAGACTGTATGTTTAACGATTATGTGTTCAGTTGCGTTACCTAGCAATTTGTGTTTGTAATTGTCAGTGATATATTGGCCGTTGATCCCTCAGATTTTATTTCCATTTTGGTATACTAAACACTTTTAGATGCGAGGTCACATGCGTGTACAAACACTGCCTTATGGGGTACCGGGAAAATGGGAGGTACCCCACAAGGAATGCCCACCGACTTGCGGGGTACCGTTTTGGTACCCCACAAGTTTTTCACGAAATAGATAATATATGGATTTTACTCATAAACTAGGAATTTCCAAGGTGGGTTGATCCGTTGCAAATGGCAGAGTTTTAGAAAAGGGATATTAAGTCCGAATTTCAGCCCAGGAAATTAATTCAGGTTAAAATAAGAGTATTTTGAAATGAGTGTGCGACGTTGCAAAATTTTAGTACACGAGAACAAAGGAAGTACCCCACTTCTATGCCTTACATATCGTGTGTGTATGTGTGTGTCACGAGATTAAACTGTCCATTAATTAGCTACAATATGCCCTAGTAGGAAGCAAATAAAATTGCGTTTCTATATGGGTAACAATTACACACGCGTTTAGTGCGACGTCCAGAGTTGTTTCAAATTCCGGTTTTCTGGGATTGACACGTCGAAAACAAAAGTGTGCAACTTAAATTGCTGATTAATTTTAGCTTCAGGTATGCGTAAGGTAAGAGTTAAACATTGAACAAGTTCACGTCTCCGCGCGTTGTACGTAAACGAAATCAGAATTTGTGAAGAAGAATGGAGAAAAAATGGTTTCAGGATTTTGGGTCTCTGTGATATAATGTAGGGAAAACTGTCGTTAAGTTTTGCTTTTCCTTTTAATTTCGAATTTGTTTTGTTATCTATGTTGCAAAGGTTGTAATTATTAAGATGGTATAATTAGTGGAATAAAGTTCAAAATTCGGGCAGCGATAAAGTGCACTTTTGGTAGTTCTTGTTGGAATGGATATTTCCAGATTCGAAATAACTAATAAGCAAATTCGACGACTATTTCCTTTTCAAATTCAATGCAGGTAATCAGATTACTAATCACGTAGCATAAAAAAGAAAACACATAGGTGTGGGCGGGGTAACGTCAGCCGATGGTGATTACATCTGTAAGTATGTGTTACCGTTTAACACTCCACACTCATGGACCATTGAGTTAAGCAAATGGGTTTGGGAACTAGACGAGGAAGTGTAAGAAGCTCCCGGATGTCTGCGCCCGCCCATATAGGGTGGTTGAAAATAAAGGAAATTCACTTTTAACAGCAATATGTATCTTGTATCTTGTTAAATAAATGATTTCCGTATTACATGATGTAAAGTAGTTTCACCCTTATTTCCAGAAAGTATATAATTATACTCGCTCGAACGGATTCAAATTTGGGACAAGAGTATAATTAAGTTTCCACTTAAAAAAAAGAGAAGTTTTTCCCGCAAAACCTCTAACTAACGATACGTTTTCACTCTTAATTGTTTGGAACTACTTCACTTGGAAAAAAAGACAGAAACTACATCGAAACAGTGTTTCTTCGATGTCTTCGATCAAAACCTTTAAAAATATGGGCTTACATTCGTTTTACATGCCGATGGATGGAAAAATTGTCACGAAACTCACTCCAAACCAATCAACACCTATTTTCTTCAAAACCACACCCACGCGGCGATTACCCACGCGCCAAATTGGGCGTTTTAAACGAAATAATGTTAATTGGAAAGGGCAAAGTAGGATATAAACATCCACACAGCCATCCGTTAAAAACTATCCAGCTGTTCAGCTGACAGCTAACTGATGGTAATAATGAGAGACGTTTCTTCTTGTGACTAGACACATGCGTATACGCGGTGCTGCAGCCGACCTCCTTAATGCATCGATGCCAAAGTGCCCCCCACCCCTGCCCCCACCCCCCCCCCCAATTTTTTTTTAAAAAATCTTATTAACACGATTATTAACATCTACATTTCACACAAACATCATTCAACGCATCATCATTGTCAACTCAAAATTTATGACATATTTACTTCGCAAAACAATATTCTTTTTAAAACTAATTAATTATCCAGATTATTCTTTTTAGAAATATTTGTTAGGTCATTTTCGCTTTAAACCTTATTATTTTGTGTATCTTATCCGCTGAAATAGATAATTCTGATATCATCATACTCAGAAACTATGCTCATAGAACATGTGGGCTGTGTCTGGACTTCAACTGTGATCAAAATCTGCCATAAAATTTGGGCATTTCTTTTTTGAATAGCTGCATTTATCGAGAAAATTCTGTGTGAAAGGTTTCACCACGTGAGTGTGTCGAGGCATCTTCTACTTTTTCATGCATCGTCTCGACGGCTGTTTCATGTACTGTTTCGACGGTTTTGTTTATTTGTCACACAGGTTAACTCTGTAGATAGAGCAGGTTTGCACATCGCCCGTTATGTTAAAACCCATTAGCCATATAATTATAGCCCATTTTTCTGGCCCAGTCTTAGATCCTTGAGTCAAATCCATGACATTTGCCTGGCGGGCAAACATTTTGAAGCACAAACTATTTAAAATCGTACAATACTTGGTCACTAAGGTAGAACACCATCAAGTCAACTTCGCGTTTCCAAGACTAATCAATTATCTCTGTACATGTAATTGTAAATTACAAATAAATCAGTCGAACATATCTTGAGGATAATTTGTGGAGTTGATTCCTGTTTTGATTCAAAATATTTCCTTCTTAATTGCCAAAGAAGTTAATCCTTATTTAACAATTACATTAATAGCAAACATAGTGCATATCGCAGACAATATAGGTTAGTGTTTTCACAACTCCCCTAAACAGGTTGTCGGCTCTTTCTTGAACTTCAACTTAGCGCCGTTTAGCCACCACCTCGAAGGGCGTCGGTCCTAGAGTAACCCCAACGATTCCCTCCAGAGAGGGGCGTGGTTTGTTGGCAGGCAAGGAGTAGGTGAATCGCTGAAGGAGGTTGACAAAGAAGAGAAACAGCTCCATCTTAGCCAGAGTCTCTCCCATGCAAACACGCCGACCTGAGAATAAAAGAGAAAGCGTAGTCAGTTGTGTTGTTACGCCAACTTGTAAATTATTACTAAAGTCCATGGGCGCTGCCATATCTTGTTTTTCCTCGTGATGTGCTTCAACTGCATTACATTTTGTTACTCCCGTTACGGTCAGTCTCATGCGTATTTTGGTCGTGATTCATTCGTGCTAGTCCCCTATCTTTATAGTGACGCATGGACAGAAGACTAACTGGGTTTTGCTGACCTAAACATCAATTATAGACTAAGAACAAAAAAATAAAAGCCACATTTGTGTGAACAGTATCCTTTCTACAGAACGTGTTGGCTGACTGCCGTTTTATCAAGAGAAATTCTCGTGAACACTCATGAACACATTTTCCTAGAAACTATTACACAAATCTTGTCCAACTGTCGGAAGCATCCTAATATTAAATGTTGACAATAGGCCCCTACTACTGCTTGAAAAGACATTTTTGCCGAAGGTGTAGAATAAGTTATATTGTTCCTCAGAAAAAGGGTGACAAAAACATACCAAGACTGAACGGCATGAAAACCTCTGGTTTCTCCACAGTCTTGCCGTCTTTGGACAGGAACCTGGTGGGATCAAACTTCTCTGGGTCTTTCCAGGATTTCGGATCATGGAAAATGGTCCAGTGATTGACAAAGACCACTGCAAAGGAGAAACGAAGCGACAAAAGTTCACCTACCAAATCTCACCTGCTACTGGTAATGGTACTCGGATACTTGCATTTTACCAAAACGGGTCCGATAGTACATAGATAGATGTACCTAGGAAGGCTCATTGACAAAAGTCCAAGTGACTTCAGGGAGTGTTGACAACCTTTCCCTTAACGGATTCAAAACGTGGTGACCGAGCCTTTATTCTGTAGAGATGTGGGTTTATTTATGCAATTTCTTTCAATGGGGCTAGAAAAAAAGAACAACCCGTGTCACGTCTAACCTGTCTGAAAGCTATATTTTTAGTGACTTCTGCCCAGTACTATTATGAGGGTCAGAAGTGAACCTCCCCGGGCGCGCGGGCTTTATGCAACATAATGTATACATTGGAAGTAAGAGGTGGTGTTATTGAATAGAGATAGAAAGGGAGAGGGAGACGGTTTGCTTGTCATGTCGGCATAGTAGAAATGAATAAGGGCCAGATCGCCCTTCCAAGAAAGAAACCAAAAAGCTGCATTGAACCAATTTTGTTTTACTAAGAGGCATGCTACAATTCTGTGGTTGCTGATTGTGGTTCTGTCATTTTGAGTGAAGTGGTGAATCTACATTCAGCCTAGGCTAACCCAAGGAGGCGGGTTGCGCGTTTGACTCTCAAACATGAAAGGTTTACCATGTTTGCAGGCTATTGGTCTTCAATGTATCCCTCCATGTTCGGTGTTGATAGCCAGTGTGTCATGGGAAGCCATAATCAGAGTTGCATTATAGGAGGGAAAAGGCATAGAACGGTACTTTTGTCATCGCTCACAGTGTGCCTACACATCAGAGTAATACAGTAAATGCGATTAAACTCACTTGTGTTTGCAGGGATCGTGTAGCCCAGAAATTCAGTCTCATAATGGGTCCTGTGGGGTACTCCGAAGGGAGTTACAGGTCGTATACGTAGTATCTCCCACAGTACGGCGTTGGTATACGGCATGTTGGCACGATCCTCTATGGTTGGCTGACGGTCACCACCGATGACGTCATCGATTTCTTTCTGTACCTATACAGCCGGTCAATAAATCCAAAGTTGATTTTGTGTACACACTGTAATCAATTTCCATGTTTTCTTTACAGTGAACAGTATGTAATTGTTCACTGTGAGTGACCGTAAATGAAGTACGCGTTACATTTTACGGACAAACACGTAAAAGGCCACTCGAAGTGCACTCGTTACTACCAATAAAGAGCGGGGCATTACTGTTCAATATTTAAAACCTATGCAGTTGGAATACTTGAAAATTGTCTGCATGGAGAAACTGGCGATCTTGCGTACTTTTTTTGTGGAAAGAAAAGTGTGAGTTTTTTTTATAACCATGTGTCGAAGTATAGTCCATGCACAAAGCTGGCCGGGAAATGGATTCAAAAATAAACAATCATGCTGCGCGCGCAGAGTTGATCCAATGAATGTCTTTAGGTGGCAGCTAGTTACCGATCCCCATATTTTAGGGGGGGCAGTCTAGATTACTACGTACCGACAATGAATGGGGTGCATCCTGCCCACTGTGTCGACTAGTTGCATGAAAAACATCCCACTACTGAATAGCCATTCGGAATTGTGCGCCCTGAGACCAGCTTTACTATGTCTGCCGAGTCTTGTTGAATTCATTACTGAGATATATTTTACGGTTGTCGTTTCGCATCTGCCAGCCATAACTAATCTTACACTGTGATATCCATACCAACCTTTTCCTGCACATCTTGATTCATAGCAATGTACAACATCAGCCACATCAGCGTGTTCGTCGTGGTATCCGTTCCTGCCACGAATAGGTCATAGATGCCCTTCCACATTGTGGTTTTACAGAACGCGCTGTCTTCAGCAACATCTTTCCCGCTCTTTTCCTGTTGCTCGATTTCCACCATGTACATGTCGATGATGTCACGGATGTCATTGGCATCAAATGACTCCTGATGGTCCTTTGGGATCAGATATCGGATTTTTAAAAAAGAACGACCAAAACAAAAATAGGCCTATTTGCTTGTTCATGGAGGTGTTATTTGGCTGATTCACATGTGTCAATTGGATCCGCTATATATGTGCATGAAATTTAAAATTGCTGATGGGTACCTCGAAATAACCCTTCACAAACAATGCTCCGACCTCGGCCGACCAATGATGATGATGATGATTAATACTTTGAGCAAATTATTTTAAAGTCTATCTGTTCGATCGAATCAATTTCACTCAAATGGTGTTGTTCTTATTTTGAATCGCACGGAGTGAATCGTCACTAGAATGGTGTGGATTTTCACTCTTTGGGAAGTACAGCAACTCAGCATGTTCCTAACGTAGTTGGAATAACCTAGCTACGACCTAGACAAGAGCTCTAGTGAACGAACCCTTGTAAACACTGCCAACATCATCACGGCTATACTATCAAGAAGAAAGGGTGTGAGTCTGGGTGTGTTCAGGCATTCAAACCATGTACGGGAAAAAAAAGGAGAACAAAAGAGAACAATATTGTCCGCGATTCCCGGCATAAACGATCGGGATCGTGTACAGAATAATGGGAGTCTTCCTAAAAAAAATTGAAGTACAAACAAAAGAGGGACAATATAGGACGTCCATGGTCGGAGGTCGATACACCACTGTTTACAGGTTATCTTATACAACTGAGGACTTGGGACATTAACGATTGGCCCGGCGATAACGATTGGTCCGACGCTCCCGAAGGACCTGCATGGGCGCAAGTCCTCGGGAGACTTTCGTGTTCAAACCTTATAGGAGCTGTCGAGGAAATGTTAGCGCACAAACAAAAGGGAACACAAGAAGGAAAGGGACAGGTCCTCATGAGTATAGTAAGACACAACGTGTGGGGGTGTGTGTATGTGTGCCCCGGCCTACACTGCGTTATGGGGAAGTTTGTCATTGTAAGGGTGATAGGAACGAGTTGCAGTCCCCACAAATACCCGATCTTAACAGACAAGTGTATGCTCCCACAACTATTTACGGAATAAAATTAGCGCGAAGCGGGCGACAGGTGGCAAAGCCGCCTCCCCCTCGTAGTGGGCGAGGCGAAGCCTTGTGTGGAATAAACTGCAATTTGCGCATGTTCGTTCGAATAAACTGAGCTTTAAAGTTAAAGACAGTATAACAGGGCTTTACCACTCACCTTAACAACCTCTTGTATGAAGGTCTTGACACTCTCAATGCGATCACGTGTATCCGTAGCCGTCCTGCGAAAAAAGGAAAACAGGCCAAAATTGGCAAATGACGCGGCCACCAGGGTGGTCTTGACGCTCTTGATGAGGTAAGCGAACTTGGGGTCTGTGTACTCGAAGCGGTAGCCGAAACTGATCAGGCAGATGATGTTCGACACGGCGTTCAGGATGGCGTGCTCGGGGTCGAAGGGCTTCTCCCCTTCGCCGTCAAAACACTCGAGGAGATGGCGAGCCTCTTCAGTGATCTTGTGCTCCACGCTTCTCTTGCCCATGCCCAGAGTTCGCATGGCGCTCAGCCCAAAGCGTCGTCGCTCCTTCCAGTTATCTCCGTTTGACATGACAATGCTTCCTGAAGTATAGTATAGAACAAACTGACAGGGTTCTTTGTTTTGAAACATTGTGTTTCATCCAGCAGCCAGAAACATTTATAGATTAGTCTTTATTTTTTGATTGGCGATGAGATTGCCTAGTGCGTTGATAGGATAGTTCATTGCCCTCTATAACCGCAGGGTCTAAACGCGTCCGAAGGAAGGCAAGGGTGCATTTCCTTCTACTTGTTTATATCATTTCATTTTCCAACGCCATGTAAATATCCCGATACAAAAAAAAACGCAATTGTGAACGTTTGTGTTTTAAATTGACCTTTTTTTTAAAGGTTTTGTAATCCTAGGTGTTACCAGACCTTGGCAGGTACAAATAATGAGTCAAGAGAGGCTATGTCACCAGCCAGAAGACGCCAGAATTTGCACAATGAAGATTAATGCACAATGAAGATTAATAGAAACAATAACATAATACCCTCGTTATATCGGTATAATAGGGTATAAAGTATATATGTTGAAATGACGAGCAGCATTGGGCACTTTCTACTGTAGGCCTACGTGTCAGGTTTTGTGTGAAATGCATTTCTCAAGACTCGTTTAGTAGAATGTGATCTCCAATTTTATACTTTGGGAATCCTTAACATATGCTGATTCAGTTCGAGGTTATATCAAAAATAATGTCATTGTGCTAAGTAACATCCTGCCTAGCCACTTACCTCTCGTGTGTTTAGATTCAGCTTGTACCATTCGATCTGAGAAGCAATCTGCTTGTTTGATGAGAGCCTCTTTGACCACTTCGAAGCTACTCAGCACAATTGTCAGACGGGGTCCTAACCAAACCTTCACGACGCTCCCATACTGTCTCGCCCAGCCATCGAGTACATGGTGCAGTTGTCGGCCCCTCAGTAACTCACCAGCGTTACCGATAACGGGCCATGCTAGTGGGCCGGGCGGTAGGTTCTGTGGTCGCTGACGGTGACGGATCCAGGCGATAGTCAACAACAGTACCACCACAAATAGGACTACCGTCTGAACATTCAAACTGCTGACTACGGACATAAGTTGAGCGACGATCATGGTGAAGTCAAATCTAGGTTGAACATCTCCACTGGCAAATGGCAACCGTACTGCTGTACTCGAAGTAACAAAGCTCGAACTCGGCTGACCTGAAATTTGACCTTCTTCCTGGTTCTGCACAATATTGTGTGGTGCACTGAACAACCCGTGCCAACCCAGAGTTCAAGTATTGTGTAAACAAACAGCAGCGGTGAATTATGAATTTATCGTCAACTTAATGCTATTTGCTCCTAAATTGAATTATCTTCTTTTTAAATTACTATTCATTTCATTAGTTTCTCCGGAAATTATTGGTTTTACATGGGTTTAATTTATCGACACACAATTTGATATATGACCGTACGAAAAACGATCACCATGGGCTCTCGACCGCTCCAAAAGCGTAATAAGTAATGGAATAATAACTTGAATTAAAGAATGAGTTTTTTTTATTATTATTTATATCATTAGCTTCTCCAGAAATAATTGATTTTTACAAGGATTTAATTTATCTACACACAATTTGATATGACCGTACGAATAACGATTACCATATGTGGGGCTCTCGCGATCACTTCAATAGCGTAAAAAGTAATGGAATAATAAAATATTGAAACCTTCTCAGTACGTCGGACTTATCAACCAGATAAGATGGTAACGCAATTTTTGATGGTCGATCCTAGCCCCAAAGAAGTCATCCACCAAATCTTCTGTGGAAAAGGTATGATATAACTAATAAGCTAATTACCATGACATTGTACTGAATCTGTGGACAAGCACATCCGGTTGGTTATTAAAAGAACAGACGTTTCTGTTTTCAAACGTTGTGGGTCACTTTTGTTGAACATCTTGCTTCACGTTCTTAGGCAAATGTCGCGGTTCACTTTTTCATAAGTCATCCAATTATTCGATACTGCGCGCGAAGCCGCTTAAATTGCTGGCTGTGCATCGTTTAGTCGCGTACGTAGTCGAATTTTGTTACATAAAAAAAATTGAAAACAACATTAAGTAAGCCTAGAAATGCTGGTCCTTTGAAAAGCGCACAAAATTCTATTCAGTATAGAATTTATTTAGAATGGCTTAATGGTTTGAGGAATCGGTTGCCGTGGCAACAGATATAGGTAACCAGTCTAATTCACAAGTGACACTCAGAGGGGTAATAATAAGCGAGCGACTTATAAGCAAGTCTGTCAGTTCAGTTCATTTATTTCCACTTACTTCATAGGAAATAACATAAAGTACATGTACATGTAATTATGAAACTTCGATTGAACAATAAGTGGAGGAGGTCTCCAAAAAAGCAGAGCTTGTCAACCGGAGATCCTTAAATTGTGTACTGACATACATTGAAACTTACATATGAATTATAATGACAATAAGTGCACACAATATCTAAGTTGTTTTTAAGTTAATGCTACACAAAAAAGACAGGACAAACACGACAAGACAACATCAAGCGGCTGACGATTCCGATTGACAATTAAGGTATCCAAGGGATGCAGGTGATCACAAAGGTAAATAAAGTGAAAATATCAAAATTATATATATCACTCTAGACAATAGTTACCCACGAGCCAAAGTTTAAGTTGTTTCTTGAAGACGGGCATGCTATTAATTGATTTAAAATTATTACCTAAAGAATTCCAACATTTAAGACCCTGTCTGGTTCACATGTGACAGTCAGTGAGTGAGAAAGGTAACCATTTAATTCACAATATTATTTAAGTGACAGTCAGTGAGTGACAGGCTAAATCAAGTCTAGTTCCCATGTGACAATCTGTCAGTGTAAGACTTGAGCAAGTCTACCTCACAAAATGACAGACAGTGTGTGAGATAGGTAACCGACATGCTAATTCACAATCAGTGACAATCAGTGAACGACTTAAGCAAGTCTAGTTCACAAGTGACAGTCAGTTATTGAGTAAGGCCGTGTCCGAAACGTGCTTCCAGAGCTACGGCTACGTCTATTGTCAGCGCGTCTCCGCGTATTTCTAATGGAGCGAAGACCTAGACATAGCTCTAGACAACAGATTCGGATGCAGCCTAAGGTAACAATTAAATTCAAGCAACAGTCAGTGAATGAGAGACTTAATCAAGTCTACTTCCCACGTACAGTCAGTCAGTGCAAGACTTGAGCAAGTCTACTTCACAAGTGACAGTCATGCAGTGAGTGCTCGAGAAAGGTAATCAAACTCATTCACAATATTTAAGTGACAGTCAATGAGTTAGAACTATAGATCAAGTCTAGATCCCATGTAACAATCAGTCAGTGAAAAACTTAAGTAAGTGTTGTTCACAAATGACAGTCAGTGAGTGAGAAAGGTAACCAACCTAATTCACAATATTAATTAAGTGACAGTCAGTGAGTGAGAGACTAATTCAAGTCTAGTTCACACTGATTTGACAATCGGTCAGTGAAAGACTTCGGCAAGATTAGTTCAAGTGCCAGTAGATAGGTATTAAATACCGACTAATTCACACTTAAAGTTGCAGTCAGTGAGTGAGAGAATAATTAAGGCAAGTTTAGTTCACATGTGAAATTTAATCAGTGAGAGACTCAAGCAATTCACAAGACACGTGTCTGTCAGAAAGTAATGTGGTTCAAGAGGACTGTGGGCTGGTCCCTCTGGTAGCAGACCAGTAAATAAACTTTCATAGACCCCAATGGTAAATGCTCCCACTTCAAACATTCGGGAAAATACTCACAACTCTCCAAGGTGTTCGAGACACACATCAAATTAAAGCTCATTTCATCATCTTTTATTTTCTTTTCAATTTTTCGGGGGGACAACTGATGACTTTTAGGAGAAATTTCCATCTGAAGATGATCACCCCTGAAAATAGTCCTGAAGCCCATCGCCATTTTGAATTACGATGCCTACACTCCATTGCAAAATAGAGAGCTTTTAGGGTTCAAATTACATCCAAATTACACAGAACTGCAAGCTCCCAGTCCTGTGCACGGCTTCCACCCATTTTTTTTTTTACAAACCCTCAAGTTCTTGGCCCACAGCATGCTCAAATACTCAGATTTTGAGGCATGCCGCGTGATTTGGCCGGCGTAGGCAATTTCGGACCGATTTACTGATCTGCACCCCTCTATCTGTAACCCTCCATGTTATGAGTTTTGAGTCATATTCCTTAACCATCACCTTGCAATATTTAATAATGTGTAAATTAAACAATTTTATGCATGCTTAAAACCAAAACAAAAATAATTCTAACCCTTTATTTTAATAGTTTCATGCTAAATTTATCGAGTCACCTTTAACCAGTGTAGAGATCAGTGCAGTGCCTTCACCTCTGTCTGAAGTCACCTTTAACACTTAATGCAAATAACCATACCATGTGACAACCAGCAATAACCTTTGACCCCATGGTCCTTTTTGATGGCGCCAGTTACAAACCTGTACCTGAATCTGCTCGCAGATTAGAAGGATTACTTTGGAGATTTCAAGCACTGTTTTTGTGTGTGTTTCTTCGCCGTCATCGGTGTGTTTTCGTGATGACTTCCAGTTTCTTTCAGTAGTTTTTATGTGTGTCAAATGTTTGAAGAAATGAACTGTTTGGGTGTCAGAAATTCGTCACGATACGCCGGCCTCGGCCAACTCGCCCCGTGCTAACCATGCGATCAATTCGTCCCTATAAACTGCACTCCGACACGCGGAGTAGCTGAACGTGTGCAGCTGGCCGACCTACCTGTAGACGCCTGCATTCTCCGTGCCCTGCTGCATAGTGACTCTGCTTGCCTGGTGAGTGAACTTTGTACACTAAAAGCACAGTAATAGTCCAGTTTAGTTTTTTAGGACTCATTTTTATTTCACTAGTTCCTTTCAAAAATGAATTGGAGTAATTGCAGAATACCCCGCCACGCGAAAATTACCCCCTAAAAATAAATGGCTACGCAGTCGGAAAATGTTGCAGAAATGTCCAAAGTACGTGTTGATCATTGATGTCGTGAAGTGGACACGCGGATACAATATACGGGGTGGATTTGAGCGCTGGAGGGTCTAAAGAGGGCGCTATTTCCCTGTATTATTTTTGAGAACGAAGAATCCATATATCCATGTTGGAAAATAACGAAGGTAGAGACAACGTGATTTGAATGGGGAGCAGGGGAAAAACGTCAAGTACAAAGTAAGTGCTGGGAAGTGGATACGCGGATACAGGGATACGGGGTGGCACATGTGTGTGGTTTGGGGGAAAAAAGTCTATGTGGATTTGGGGGAAAACGTCTAAGTCCAAAGTAGGTGCCGGGAAGTGGATACGCGGATACGGGTATATAAGGAGGGGCACACGTGTGTGGTTTTGGGGAAAAACGTCTATGTGGTTTTGGGGAAAAACATCTAAGTCCAAAGTACATGTAGGTGCCGGGAAGTGGATACGCGGATACGGGGTGGCACACGCGTGTTGTTTTGGTTGAGCATCCAAGCGTGACTCCGTATCCGCGTATCCGGATACGAGGTGGGTTAGGTGAGTGGCGGGGTATTCTGCAATTGTGCCGCATTTTGCAAATGATTGTCAATGATTTTTGTACGGAAGCCTGTTAATTCATGCCAGGTTTTCAAACTTTATTTCGAAATAACACAATTGTTTTGCGAAAAAATGCTATATTTTGAGAAATATATTAACCCAATAGTATTGCGCAATTACGCATTAGTTTTATTGCAAAATAGCGCAATAGTATTGTGAAATATCATGATCATTGATAGTATTGCTAAATAACGCAATATCTTTAAAAAATAACGCATTACTTACTGCAAAATAACGCGGTAGTATTGCAAAATAACGCAATAATTCGAAGGAATGATGCAAAAGTATTGCGAAATACGTGATAGTATTGCGAAATAATGCAATTAATTTATTGCGAAATAACCCAATAGTATTTCAAAATAACGCAATGCTTATTGCAAAATTACCCAATAGTTTTGCGAAATAATTCAATAGTATTGCGAAATATCTCACTCAATTTATTGTGAAATAACGCAATAGTATTGCAAAATAATGCTAAATAACGCAATACTTTTACGAAATAATGAATTAGATACATATTGCGAAATAATGAATTAGTTATGGGAAAAACGTCTATGTGGTTTTGGGGAAAAACATCTAAGTCCAAAGTACATGTAGGTGCCGGGAAGTGGATACGCGGATACGGGGTGGCACACGCGTGTTGTTTTGGTTGAGCATCCAAGCGTGACTCCGTATCCGCGTATCCGGATACGAGGTGGGTTAGGTGAGTGGCGGGGTATTCTGCAATTGTGCCGCATTTTGCAAATGATTGTCAATGATTTTTGTACGGAAGCCTGTTAATTCATGCCAGGTTTTCAAACTTTATTTCGAAATAACACAATTGTTTTGCGAAAAAATGCTATATTTTGAGAAATATATTAACCCAATAGTATTGCGCAATTACGCATTAGTTTTATTGCAAAATAGCGCAATAGTATTGTGAAATATCATGATCATTGATAGTATTGCTAAATAACGCAATATCTTTAAAAAATAACGCATTACTTACTGCAAAATAACGCGGTAGTATTGCAAAATAACGCAATAATTCGAAGGAATGATGCAAAAGTATTGCGAAATACGTGATAGTATTGCGAAATAATGCAATTAATTTATTGCGAAATAACCCAATAGTATTTCAAAATAACGCAATGCTTATTGCAAAATTACCCAATAGTTTTGCGAAATAATTCAATAGTATTGCGAAATATCTCACTCAATTTATTGTGAAATAACGCAATAGTATTGCAAAATAATGCTAAATAACGCAATACTTTTACGAAATAATGAATTAGATACATATTGCGAAATAATGAATTAGTTATGGGAAAAACGTCTATGTGGTTTTGGGGAAAAACATCTAAGTCCAAAGTACATGTAGGTGCCGGGAAGTGGATACGCGGATACGGGGTGGCACACGCGTGTTGTTTTGGTTGAGCATCCAAGCGTGACTCCGTATCCGCGTATCCGGATACGAGGTGGGTTAGGTGAGTGGCGGGGTATTCTGCAATTGTGCCGCATTTTGCAAATGATTGTCAATGATTTTTGTACGGAAGCCTGTTAATTCATGCCAGGTTTTCAAACTTTATTTCGAAATAACACAATTGTTTTGCGAAAAAATGCTATATTTTGAGAAATATATTAACCCAATAGTATTGCGCAATTACGCATTAGTTTTATTGCAAAATAGCACAATAGTATTGTGAAATATCATGATCATTGATAGTATTGCTAAATAACGCAATATCTTTAAAAAATAACGCATTACTTACTGCAAAATAACGCGGTAGTATTGCAAAATAACGCAATAATTCAAAGGAATGATGCAAAAGTATTGCGAAATACGTGATAGTATTGCGAAATAATGCAATTAATTTATTGCGAAATAACCCAATAGTATTTCAAAATAACGCAATGCTTATTGCAAAATTACCCAATAGTTTTGCGAAATAATTCAATAGTATTGCGAAATATCTCACTCAATTTATTGTGAAATAACGCAATAGTATTGCAAAATAATGCTAAATAACGCAATACTTTTACGAAATAATGAATTAGATACATATTGCGAAATAATGAATTAGTTATTGCGAATTAACTCAATAGTATTGCAAAATAATGCAATACTTTTGAGACATAGTACATTACGTTTTGCAAAATAACTTTATAGCAAAATAACGCAATACTTCTGCAGAATAACGCATTACTTATTGCGAAATAACGCAATGCTTATTCCAAAATAACGCAATAGTAATGCAAAATAACCCAATAGTTTTGCGAATTAACACAACAGTTTTGCAAAATAATGCAATAGAATTGCGAAATATCACACTCAATTTATTGCAAAATAATGTAATGGTATTGCAAAATAACTAAATACTTTTACAAAATAGTGCACTTCATATTGCCAAATAGCACAATAGTATTGCAAAATAACATTACAGCAAAATAACACAATAGGCCTACTTATTGCAAAATAATGCAATAGTATTGCAAAATTACGAAATAGTGTTGCGAAAAAATGCAATCAATTATTTGAAAAATGATGCAATGGTATTGCAAAATGACACAATTGCATTGGGAAAAATGCAATAAATTTATTGCAAAATAACGCAATAGTATAGCGAATTAGCGAAATAATGCAATAGTATTGCAATAAAATGCAATAAATTTATCGGAAAATAATGCAATAGTATTGCAAAATAATGCAATATTAACGCCATAAATGTATTGTGTAATAATGAAAGCTCGTTTGTGCTTATTGCAAAACAATGCAATTCTTTTGCAAAATCACGCAAAACAGTTGGAGTAGGCCTACAGTTGAGAAATGAATTTTCCAACAAGAAAATTGCGAAATAACACAATACTTTTACGAAATAACGTATTACTTATTGCATAAAAGTTGTTTCGAAATAATGAAAGCTCATTCGTGCCAGGTTTTAAAAGTAAAAAAAATATTTTTATTTGTGAAATAACGTGTTACCTTTGCAAAATCATGCAAAACAGTTGGAATACAGTTGAGAAATGAATTTTTCACACAAGAAAATTGCGAAATAACAATACTTTTACGAAATAACGCATTAATTACTTATTGCAAAATAACGGAAGCTCCTTTGTGCCAAGTTTTAAAAGTTACAAAATTGTATTCACAAAATAATGCAAAACAGTTGGAACACAGTTTGAACAGAAATTTATTTCTCAACAAGAAAATTGCAAAATTACCAAAAAGTATTGCAAAATAACGCACTACTTTTTTTCGAACAAACGCATTACTTATTGTGAAATAACGCAATAGTATTGTGAAGTAACGCGATAGCATTGCTAAATAAGGTAATAAATTTATTGCGAAATAATGCAATAGCATTGCAAAATAATGCAATAGTGTTGCAAAAGGTCAAGGGTCAAGGTCACAGTGACTAAAACAAGAAATTTTGTCAGCGCGATAACTTGATAAATACTTTACATATGAACTTCAAATTTGGTTTGTGTATTGTTCTTGGTAATCCTAACAACCCTTTTGCATTTGGAGCCGAAAGGTCAAGGGTCAAGGTCACAGTGACTAAAACAAAAGAAATTTTGTCAGCGCGATAACTTGATAAATACTTTACATATGAACTTCAAATTTGGTTTGTGTATTGTTCTTGGTAATCCTAACAACCCTTTTGCATTTGGAGCCGAAAGGTCAAGGGTCAAGGTCACAGTGACTAAAACAAAAGAAATTTTGTCAGCGCGATAACTTGAGAAATACTTTACATATGAACTTCAAATTTGGTTTGTGTATTGTTCTTGGTAATCCTAAGAAGCCTATTGCATTTGGGGCTAAAAGGTCAAGGGTCAAGGTCACAGTGGCTGAAACAATAGAAATTTTGTCAGCGCGATAACTTGAGAAATACTTTACATGTATATGAACTTCAAATTTGGTTTGTGGATTGTCCTTGGTAATCCAAATAGGCCTATCGCATTGGGGGTCGAAAGGTCAAGGGTCAAGGTCACAGTGGCTAAAACAATAAAAATATTGTATTTATTCTGAGATCATAGGGATTAGGGATCAATTCATATAAAACCTACAGAAGACACTTATGCTGTCAATGAACGTTCCATGTGACCAAGGTACGGTACGTGTAAGTTGATGTTAAAAGAGTGGTGTTATGTCATGGGAACAGTCACGGTTGCGGGGCATTTGTGTTTGTAAACACACCTGACTTGTTTTTTTTTTCAAAATGGCGATGGGGTGATCATC